AAAAGAACCAAATGCAATGACAGAAAATGAAACGCAGGGTTAGAAAAGAAAAAAAACAAAAAAAAACGGCTCTGTCCTTTGCTCTCGTGGATGTGGAGCTGGGGAGAGGAAGGAGAGATTTCCAGCTTTCTCCTCCTTTCTGGTTTTGCCTGACCTCGATGGTCGTGATGAAACGTCCTGGATCTGCGTCTGAGGCCCTTTAGGGCGGCTTAAATTTGGTCGATTGTGTAATGATCGGTGTCTCGTAGATAAATAAAAGAAAGGGTTGGGGGGTTGGGGGGGGTCCAGGTTCCAAACTCTGCCGTCTCTCCAGTGTGCTGCTGCTGCTGGGTGCTCGTTTTCCTTCCGAGTCTTTTTTTTTCCCGCCGCTGCAGGTTCGTAGCTTTGTCCGAGCGTGGCGCCGACAGACTTTAAACGTCGAGGGTTCGAAATGTCACCGGGAGGGGGGGGAAGGTTGCCGTGGAGGGGAAAAAAAAGGCGCGTCGCTTTTAGCCACAGTTTTCTGCGACGGGCCGGTCCTCAGCTAGCTAGCGCCATGGTGTCGATGACCTGTTCTAGCTTGCCGCGTAGCCGCTGGCGGCGGGACTGGTCGTCCTTCTGGAGCGCCGACAGGATCTGCGGGGGGGGGGAAGAAGAAGAAGAGGGAGGAGGACCGTCAGTGCCGCGTCGGAAACCGTAAACGCTCGCGTCCGCGCCAGAAAAAAAACGAGCGCTCCGATGCTAATTTCTATTTACCGGTTAGCAATTACAATTACGCTGACGCTAACAGCGTGGGCCGGGTTAGCGGGGCAGGTGTGAGGACCGGTGGGATGTGTGTATAATTGCTGGTTAATTGCCAGTGCGATTGTGTACAGGAGCGTGTGTGTGTGTGTGTTTCTGTTATTTGGCGTGGCGTGAACAAGAAGAGGAGGAACATCGCAGCACGCATATGCGTAAGTGTACGCTAGCGCGTTTATAGCATCTCTGTGTGTGCCGCCGTGTGTGTGTGTGTGCGTGCGCTTCTGTGTAAGGTCAGGGCACGTGTTGGAGGCGACAAGGCCCCGCACAGCTGCCTGCATCTGGATAATAGGCCGTAATGACAGGGAGCAGTTGGTGTGGATGGAGCCAGCTGCAAGCAGGAAGCAACGCGGCCATGCTGCCGGTATGGAAGGGTAGAGGGGAGGAATGGTCCTCTGAGCCTTGAATTTAGGGGGGAAGGGGGCATTTTTCACAATAGAAAATTCACTATATGCAAATATACTGAATTTATACCTTTGTTCTTAGCTAAAGAAAAAAAAACTGAACTAGCTTAGCACAAAATCCACATGTAATGCCCAAACAATGCATTAGATTTCTTAAAATCAATCCATACAAAGAGGGGAGAAAATAGTAAAAAAAAGACTCTGTTCTGTGTAAAACTGTCCTAGTGACTTCTGTGTTGGTTGTTTCCATTTATGGTTATCCAGGAAACCTGATAAAAGTCTGAATAAAGTTTCATGTGCACCCTTTTATAGAAAATAAACAACAGAGCTGTCCGACTTTGACACTGGGAGCCCAGAATCTCCCTTTAAACCCCTCGATTCGTCCAGGATGTGATCGGGTCAGGAAATTCAACTATGTCGGACCTGGAAGTTTGAAACTTGAGCTTTCAAATGAGAGCACGTTCCACATCTGTTGAGTAAACACGGTTTCTCTGGTTATCTTCACATTAAACCGACCGAACGTTAACTGGTTGCCTGGTAACCTGACAGGACAGACAAACCATAACGCTATTCATCCAGGAAAATGTGCCTCCGTGTGTGAGTCAACAGGCGGCTGCTGTTAGACTTGATGTGAAGGTGTTTCATAAAAGAGCATAAAAAATTACTTGAAAAAAAAAAAAAGGGAAAAAATCGCATAAATCGCGCAAAGCTCCATTAGGTCCATAATGTGCTGAGCTCATGCCTTAATGTGCGTCCTAATGGCGTTAATACCTTCTAGCCCGTTCCGATGCGGGCTGGTGATCAGTGTAATTGTATTAAAATGACCTCATCGCATTAGTCCAGACCAGTGAAAGGAGCGGGAGACGCGGCGTGTCTAGTAATCACAGTGTTCCCCCCCTTTTTGGGCCTTTTTCTGTGCGTATCCGGGGGGACACTCACCTCGTCTTTGTACTTGACGATGTAGGTGTAGATCTCGTGCAGCGCCGACATGCTGTTGAACTGGCTGAGGTGCAGGCGGGACTGCTCCGCTAGGTAGGCACTCATGTCCTGATCACTGATTGCTGGCATGCGGGAGATGTCAGAGTAATATCTAGAGGGGGGAGGCAGAGCAAAAATTCGCTGTTTTCACCAAAGGCTGGAGGGAACCACTGAGTGAAGGAGACGGAGTGTTAAGGGAGGGTCAAGAACTTCTCGAAACAAATGTCAAAGACACAAAACATAAAGATATTCCTGCTAGAGCAGCTAACAGATTCAGTGGTAAAGGTGGAATTAACATGAACACATGTGGGAGATGTATCTATTCAAACCCTCTAATGAACGGTTCATTAGTTTACAGTAAGCAGTTCACATGTAAACTTTATGTTTAGTAATGAGAGGAAGCAGAAAAAATCTTTTACAAACGCTCACCAGCTTTGTGTCCAATTAGAAACTTGAGCTTTTAAAAAAATATTACTTAGTACTTTAAAACATGTCACTTTTTTATGTACCGTACAAATAAATAATTGGTTTATCGCTCTTCAGCAGAGCCTGAACCCTCTCCCAGCAGCTGTGTGTCATTTCTGTAAGGAGTTTTCAGGAGAAGATCTCCAGGCTTCTTGAAGGACGTCACAAAGCTCTTTTTTTGGATGTTGCTGCCCTTTATTCTCTGTCAGATGAGTCCACTTCTGGTGTCCTTTGGCAGAGCTCAGCCTTTTTCTCCCCGTTTCCCTTCCTTAAGAACGGCTTCTTGACAGCCAACCTTCCATGGAGAGCTTTTCCATCTATCATAACCTCTCTTGTCTTGTGGAAGGCCTTTGCTGAAGGTCTTTCCCCCCATTTTCTAACATCAGTTTCAGCATTGCTGTGGATGATGTTAGGCCTATCAATTTATGTTGGATGATAGCAAATAAATAGGAACTAACAATCTTCTTTTGTGGCAGGATGCAAACCCCAAAATGGATCATGAATGATTCACTGGCCAGCGTTAAGTGGCTTAAAAAACAATTAAGCAGGTTCCTCTAAAATTGGTAGCTACAAGGGCCTGAGTGAAAAACCAGCCAATGGTTAGACTAAATAAACAAAACAAAAGTCTGGAGAAACATCGTTCAGGACGCATTTAAACAATGAAACGACAGGGTTCTTGGAAGCTGCTCAAAAAGAAATGAGGGGTGTCTGAAAGCCTTCTGGAAGGACTTCATGTGGATCCGTTCTCTCTGTGTGTGTGTGTACAACAAACCTTCACGTTAATTACTCGTGACTGGATAACGAGAGCGAACCGTCAACCGGTTGATGGACAAAAACTACAGTGCGGGATGAACGCGTGGAGCTGGGCCCCGTCTTCGGGTTTTGGACAGCTGGACAGAATTAATGTGGAGGTGGAGTAGAACTGGCCCCCGGGCAGCTGTGTGATCTCTCACCGCACTCGATATTGAAGAAATGGACGAGCCAAGCAAAACAAACAACGGACTAACGCGCTTTCTACCATCTGGATCCGATAAGAACAGAGAGGAATGGTGCTCACTGAGTCATCACCACATGTTGAACAAAGAGTCCACCATGAGGCAACATTGCAAAGCTACTAGGAGACCAACGGAATCCCCAAAAGTTGAAAGTTAGAACCTGGAGTTGCATCAACTTCCCTTGAAATGAGTTCAACTTTCTGGCGCCGAGCAACTGAAGAAGATTCAACATTTTTATTTGATGCTTGTATTTTCTGACTAAACCTGGTGCTTTGAAACAACTGAATCAGAAGGATTTTGCTTTGTGTGGAAACACGGTTCACATGGAACTGGTTTTACTGATATCTTCTGCACTCTTAATTGACTGCAATCTGTATTAATAAGCCAAGAGCAAGCCGGTGGTAATTACAGAGCATGCTTTCTTTGCTTTGATTTAATTCAACTATATATTCATGCCTAAATGCCTGTAGCAGATAAAGTTCAACCTATAATGTTGTTCTAATCTCCCAGTTGTTTAATACTGTAATTAACTTAAATCTCCCAGCTCAGCCTAATTTTTCCTCCACCTTCCAGCAGCTCAGGCGGAATGCAGTTGGCCTTTTACCTTCAACGCTACTAAAGCGGTCCATTTGAACTTTATGTAGCTTGGATTCGACGTGCACGTACCTCTCCACCCAGTTCTTGTAGTTGGGGATGTCTTTAGCGTACAGGAGCTTATTTGAAGGCGAGTCCTTTCCGAGTTTGTGCTCAGACGTCGAACAGGAGTCCATGAAGGTTTGAGCCACCACGGAGAGGCAGGCGTCCGTGATGCTGTTCTTGTGGATGTCGAACACAAACTGGGGGTTCTTTATCACGTTCACCCAAAACCGCAAAGGAAGGCTAAGGAAAACAGAGATTTGAGAAGGACAAAGTGATCGCAGATCCTTTTTTTACATCGAACGGCGCCACTAATCTCTAAATCTACTGTAAACTCCACTGAAATCGGCAAATTTAGCAGCTGCCCGGCGGGGAATTATTGTAATTATAGTTTTAAAAATAATTAATTCTTCTGAGTATTGCCCAAATACAAGTTAATGAATTAGACGCAGATAAATAATCTATGGAAACTCTGCATTTTTTAAAATAAAACACAAAATGTATGCTGTCGTTTTTTCGAAATGTCTGTAAGATATAATGATTCAACGACTGCACACAGTTCAATATTAGCATCGTTCTTCATAAATAATATTGACTCCGTTACTTTGTTCCCATTTGAATATCCTCGTGGAGGGAAGAGCAGAAAAGAGCCTGAACACACAGGCATGCAATCACTGGGCAGGTTGTCATAGAGGAGCAGGTGATGGCAGATCTGGACCCAGTCTCTCCAGTACCATTGTCCATTCTGTTCGGTTCACGCACTAAAGCACGCCTCTGGGCTACCCGTAATTGGCCACAGAGGAGCCCGCCGGACACTTGTGGACTAATGAAGATAAAAAAAAATTCAGTCCGACGGGCTTGCCTGGACAAAGATTCCCGATAGCAACAAAAATCTGAGGCTGCAAGCGAGACGCGGATAATTGTTAGCCAGATAAACTCAAAACGGGCTCCAAATTAGCCATTTTAACGAGTCATCTTTAAGAAAATATACAGACTCTTGAATGGTTTCTCAAATATAAATTTGCTGGAAATCAAGGTCCGGCTCCATTGGGAAAAAACTGTTGTTCGCAAGCCAAAAGGGAGCCATTTTTCGGACTTACCAGTTACTCTTCCAGGTGTGTCTCACATCGTAGTCTGTGATGGAGTGTTTGTCAGCCTGCTCGTCCAGGAAGTCGAACATGTACTTGATGGCCAGCGGCAGGGCGCTGCCTCTGTGAGCCGTGCTGAAGATGGTCTCAAACAGGTCGTCCACAAACTTCTGTAACGTACCCTGACGGGGCAAAGATAGTGGAAAAGAAAAACACAAAACGCTTAAATTCACACCTACTGGACTTCTTTTTTTTTGTTGTTGAAATGGTTCTTGTTATTTAGAACATTTTTAATAACTGTGGCGGGACCGTGTGACATTTTTAAGGATAATTTTCTGTTTGAAGGTGTAAGTATTTTGGATTAAATGTCTTTCCCACACACCGGTAAAGGTCTAAATGTCAGAGATGTTTTACATATTAAGGTCTTAAATGATAACATAGGAGCATGAGCTGGGTACTCATGTCTGACATTTAAAAAAAAAAAAAAGGTTTGTGTCCTTATTATGATAATTCCAATGACCTTTGTTCTTTTTTATTTTCTCATTCATCATTTACATGTTGATTATTTTCTTTTCTAGCACTCAATATTCCTACAACCCCTTAACTGAACTACATAAAAACCTTAGTCTCAAATCAGTCCATTGCAAGCGAAACACAGCATTTTATGAAATGTCACAGAGAAGGAGGAGTGTTGCAATTTGAACAGTCGGACTGCATTGTGCGAATATAGCGTGTCATCACAAACCATTTGTATCTAAAGCAACTGAGAGGCTCATGATGGAGGGTGTCTTTAATATGAATAGACCAGGCCGGTGGTTTGTGCAGACGGACTTATTTGACCACTGAGCTCTGCAGACATCACAAACAATAACCTCAGTCCTTGGAATCAGATCACTTTTGCCTCCGATAATTACATCAAATACAGCTTGCATTCATTTCCCCGGCAAAGCACGCGTTACCACCGCTTCTTACCACCGCAGAAAGACAGTCGAGACAGACAAAGACAAGATGAGCCTCTCAATTGCATTTGCCTGTGTTTTTTTCCATCATGCATGGCTGAATCTTCAATCCCTCAACAAATTACCTGTCTCCTGACACCTCCTGTATCTGCACCCCCCCCCCTACACTCGACACCCTGGCCCCACCTTTTATTAATCTGTTTTTTTTCTTATTACCAGTGGAAATTGAAAAGCAGGCCTTGCTTGTAACCGCTACCTATTACTCTATTTTCCTCCCCGTTTCACAATTAGGCAGGAGCTGAGGGGCTGGGAGACAATGAAGGGGGAGGAAAAAAAGACGGCCTGGTCATCACGTACAGCAGGACTCCCGGGGGGGGGGGGGTATCTCTTTTAGTTTATCCTTGACCGTGCCAAAAAGTTTCAGTGTGCTTTTGTATTTTCTTAATTTCTCGATAAAAATGACCAAAAGCGTCTTTGGATTTTTACACAAGTCTTAAATAAGGTTTTAAAGAACCCAATAAAATATCATTTGAATGTTGAAAAAAAAAAAGTCAAACTTTTGCTTTGATCTTGTAAGAAAATCTATCCTGCTTAGGCCGGATAGAACCAGAACCTCTTTTGATTTACCATATAAGTTAAAGCTAAAACGAGAGCAGGAAGAATGTGTCAGTGGGAAAATAATGGTGTGTGTTTGTGTGTATTGTGTGTGCAGCATTCCATTGCACCATCAATACTGTTGTGTTATTGTGAAATACTCTAAATCCAGGACATTTATAGGAGAGGAGAGTTGAAAATACTCTAAATGTTCCTGTAGTTTGGGTTTTGATGCTCTCAACTGCCTCAGTTTTTGTTCCACTGATTGTCTTTTTTTTTTATGGAGATGCAGCCTCTCTTACTTTAGTGGCCAGCAGTCTGGTCAGGTAGATCTCGGACACCATCTTGCTCCCCCGGTCCCCCTCCCTCTGGTCCGAGTGGTCGTGGTTCTTGACCAGATGCCAGAGTTTGGTCCCGCTCTCCAGGTCCGGCGTGATCATTGGTGTTCGGGACCGCAGGCTGTCCGGACTACTGGCCGTCCTCAGCATGCTCTCTAAAGGGGTTTGAAAGAGCTGTTTAATTACAAAAAACATGGAGTTCGCTGTGTTTCTCCAGTACAAAATTCGACTCTTCCCTTCTTTTCTATCATCGGTTGAAATCTTTCATTATTTATTGTGGGAGTGTCAAAGCTGATTAGAGCCATAGAGCCAAAATCAGCAGCGAAGAGAAAAAAAAGAGGGAACCAGGAAGTTCAGAGCTGATGGAGGAAAGATTATCAGGTTAGAAACAGTTGCTGCTGGGGTGGAAAGCAGGAATGAACAGAAGCGATAGAGAGACAAAAAAGAGATGCTAATACATGTTGCAAAGCGTTTGTGGCTGTTGAAAGGAGGGCGGACGAGAGGAAGAGGAGTGGTGAGTGGTTTTGATTCCAAAGTCATCATGACCATGGGTGCCCGTTCAAAGATACTTCAACACACACACACACACACACACACCTACATCCCCACAAACACAGCTGAAAGTCGCACACTATCGATACACGTGCAGCTAACGCTGAGAATGAAAGGGAAGCGTCTCATTTTACAGATTTCATTTTCTCAAAGTACATTTGTCTAGACTAACCCAGTGTTCAAACAGTGTAGGTGTGTTTGACGTCTCAATTTCCATTCCTGCTTTTGGAATCAATATCTGAGGAAACCGAAAATGTCTCTGTTGTGCGGTGTGACTTCAGGCAGATCTAATCAATTCCTCTATACCCTGGCATTAGCATGTGAGATCTTATGTGTGAAATGGGGAACTTTTGACAACAAACAGACCCAAAATAGACTATTCTGAGAGCCATCACGGTTTGCCATGGGGGGGTTCAAATTTGCCATTTGGCCGTCACCATCCCATGTTTTGAAGATCCTGAAACCCTCTCATGGTATAAATAATAATCATAATGCATAACGTTAAGCATCAGCACAGTTAAAAAGGCTGATTTATGGATAAAAAAAGAAAGAAAAATAATTCATACTTCTCGTTTGCTAGCCTGGGTGTGTTCGGGATTTAGCTTGTTTTCAAAGTCAGCCTTAAACTTTTGACTCTAGCGTTCCGAGCAATTATTCAGTCTCAAGGGGATCGCTACGGTGTCCCATTCTTTTGAGATGTTTATGGCCACATCTGAGGCGCAAACGCAGACAGAGCGGCCTGAAAATGCAAATGTGCGTATGGAAGCTCTCAAAGCTTTTCTTCTCCATTTTCAAGGCCTGACCGTGTGCAGAGTGGAGATGCTCAGCCTCACAACACATTCATCTATCCACTAACCAATCAGACCTAGACATAGGTCTCTTTTCTGGGTTCAGACTTGATACTGTATCAGCACTCTGTCAGACAGTAGTCAGTCTAAGGATCTCACTCAGTCATGCAGTTAAAGGACAGAAGTTATACATGAGAAAAGTAATCATCCAGTCAGCTTTTTTAACATAATTCACTCTGTAAATAATTAGATTTCGAAAGTGGAGAATGCCGTAATGTGTCTGTATCTTTTGTGACTGCTCGAGGTCCTTCTCGTCTCTTTCACCCTGTCAGCCAGAGATGGAGGTGTCTGCTTTAATACCTGTCATTTATGGACTGCTTTGGAAATGGCCCCAGAATAGCCTTGGTCTGGGCTGATGTGCAATGGATAAAAAGGATTGCCATTTACTCAGAGGGAGGTGTGGGGGGAAAGTAGAAAAAAAAATAGGGGGCCCAATCACGCTCCTGACAAACAAAGAGAGAATGAAAGAGAGCTGGAGGGCGGGGTGGCGGGGGCAGAATCGGTGACAACGTGATTTAAACGGCAGCCGCACCGTATCTGCTGAGGCTCTTTGTGAAGGTGGAGGAGTTGGAGATGTTGTAGGCCGAGTTCTGCTTGGGCACCAGGGCGATCACCGAGCCGTCCGTTACCTGAGGAGGACAGAGAGAAGAAAAGAAACGAGGCGTTCTGTCTGTGCTCTAGCGCCTTCTTATCCAACGGCGTTAGCGTCTTCTGTGTCGGGATACCTGATAGTGAGCCAGTGTGTTGAGTCTCTTCCAGTCGTTGTCGATCTTAGTCGTGACGTCTTCGTCCTGGAGGATGATTCTGGCCATGCGACCCTGGCGCCATTCTGCGAAAACAGGGTGGAGGGTCTCAGAGACACTGTGTCAGTTAACCCCTAAAGGTTCACGTCTTTATTCTTAGCACTGTTTCGTGGGCCGCGGGGCTTATCCCGGAACAGAACGTCCACACCAGATGCTCGCTCGCTCATTTTGGCAGCGGCTCTTTTACAAAGATAACATACGAAGTTCAGTGTTGACAGCGCGCAGAACGCTTGGAGGAAAAGATGCTTTTGTTTTTCCCCCTCGCCACCTTCGTGACGTCTCAGTTAAAATCAGATCCAGTTTTGCCACTTCACGCCCCCATGAAAAATCAAAACCCAGAATCAAACCCAGGGCTCACGATTCAAACACTTTAAAGGCAAAACCAAAACTCATCTTAAGAAATGTACTTTTTAACATAAAACATAATCATTTCTCATCCATTTGAAAGTACAGATAAACATATGATTCGGGAATGTTCAGGCTAAAACAAAGTGATATTGGGTGTTTTGATATGTGCGTACTTAGTTTGAATAAGGCTAATATCAAAGAGTTTGGAGCTGCACTTCTTACCGAGGTCCATGTCAGAAGCCTTTGACCGCTGTGAATAGGGGCTTCCTTTGTACACGGCGTCCAACAGCTTCTCTTTGACCTGAGTGATGGTGTCGCAGTTCAGACACTTGACCGTCACCTCGGCAGCGTTTTCGTTCTCCGGGTTCACACAGTGCAGCGTCTGGCGGGAGGACAGGTGGAAAACCAAAGGGGGGACGTGAACAGACCAGAAGCATTATCGATAAATCACAGATTTAGCCAACTGGTTAACATGGCTGAATGATTGTTTCTTTTTTACACAATGCACTTTCTCCTATTCCGTTCAGGTGGCTGAACGGATAATAACTCAGCATTCACACCTGTGTGCAGACCCTATCCAAACTTGAAGTGTTTTGTTTGTTTGAAAAGACAACACGTTTAGCTCTGAGTAGCGAATAAACGCTCAAAGCCAAAGACCCCCGACTAATCAAAGAACCACTTGTCCACATCCCGAGAGCTTAAAAATCTCACCAATCTCAAAAGAGACGGGCCCTCAGACCAAGTGGGTTGACTGACCAGTGTCTTGTAGTCAATCTGCTGCCTGATGAGCTTGTCCTCACTGAGGGAGTAGCGGGCTTCTCCCGTGATGGCGTCAATGGGTCCCTTCTCCATCTGCTGCTTGATGGCACAGTACAGCATGAACAGAGGCTCCCCGGCACACTCCTGGTGTGGAAGAAAGCAGAAACATATCAGAGATATGTTCAGTACAAGCCTAGTGTCTAGATTCTTGGATCTTTTCTACAGGATCGAGTAAAAACTCAATCCACCACGACTAAAAAAAAAGTTGAAAAGCATCAAAACACACATAAGTCGAATTCTCTAGTCAACAACTTTTCCAGTTGACGTGCTAAATACTCAGCCTTTCAGATGATCCGATTTGCATAAAACCTCTCTAAACAAGACCACTTCAGTGTGTGTTTTTTGGATCACAGGAGAGCCAGAAAGCACACAAGAAAGCTTTAACAGTTCCACGCGAAGAGCAGAGACCTTAAGTGGATCCCTTTGCTCGCAGAGCTGAGAGCAGAAAAGCATAGAAATAAAAGGAAAATCACAACCTATGGCTCTACCCTTAATTCTCCAGTATTTTCCTTCCAGTTCCCACTCCCCAAAAGAGTGACGTAAATAGGGAATATTCTGCATGAATGACGAAGATGAAGGATATTTTAACATGGCAGCCGTTGGTCTCCATGTCATGCTTTAAACGTGAAGGCATTTCTTGCAAAAAATCTGCTCGGCCCCTCTTTAACATTTGAGCTTCTGTGAGTGGACACAGATGTTATGCTGTAAGTATTTTTCCCACCTCCCACCCAAGACACTTGTCAATCAATAGTGTCATTAGTCATCGCTGGGGCCCCAGGAAAAGGGAGAGAGAGAGAGGACACATCAGGGCCGATACTCGTCCTGACCGGAGTTTAATGATCGACTGTGTGCGGCTTTGGGGGAAACACTTCAGACCCCGTGAGCCTGTGTGAGCTGCAGACTTATGAGGTGAGAACAACGGATTCATCATTCATCAGTCTCACCTTTAAGGACACTACCAATCTGCTGCTTTTCTCTCGCCCGCACGGTTATCTTCCTTCTTTTTGCCCTGTAATGTCACCCCCCTCAATGTCGACTTTGCCTCTTTTTGGCATTAACTCATTACACTCGGAGTTAACACCGATGCCTCTTTGATGCGTTCGAGCGCAATATCGCAACAGACCTGCCAGGAGAGCAGCCGCGGGGAGAAACTGTGGAATAACAACAGGCTCCTTGTGTTGTGTACAGAGTAAAGTTAACAAGGAGAGGAAGAACCGTTTGTCTTACAGCTTGAAAGGTTTGATGGATATCAATCAAACGACTCAGACACAGAAGTCTATGCTATGAGACCCTCGTGTTTGGTTTTAGGTTTCTTTCACGGACCATCAGGCTGACTGTCATAAGTTGAAGCAGCCAGTGCATTCTTATTAATTATTATCTTAATATTTAACCATAATTTCCATCAAATATGTTCGTTTTAAGCACCTTTAATGAAATCCTCATTTTCAAATAAAGGATCTGTGAGGAAACTGTTGCATCTACGGCCCTTTTTTTTATCCCAAGGTGTTGGTTATTATCTTAATATTTAACCATAATTTCCATCAAATATCGCCGTTTTAAGCACATTTAATGAAATCCTCCATTTCAAATAAAGGATCTTCGAGAAAACTGTTGCATCTACGGCCCTTTTTTTTATCCCAAGGTGTTGTTTTCTTTGCTTTTTTTTATAACACCTTTCTCCTATTTTGCCTCAATTTGCACCTTCTAATCCCTTTTAAAGATGAGCTTTTTCTACCACCTTTTTATCCAGCGTCCCCACCTGAATCCTCCCCCTGCTTCCTTCCTTCCTTCTCCGTCCTATTTTTACAGCCACCTCACCTGCCCTGCGCCCCTCCTCTCTTTCCCCCTAACTCCTAATTATGATGCCCTCCTCTATTCATCTTCCCTCTCGCCGCCCCTGCTGACACACACCTCTAACCTCTTCCAGTCCCTCCCCCCCCCTTACACACACACACACACACACACACACGCCGTTCCGCCAGCGTACGCTTTATAAAAAGCTTGTTAGCATCGGGGCCAATTAGGTGGGCAGCTGCTAACGAGAGAGAGAGAGCATACATCACCGCGCTACGCCTTCGCTTCAGTTTACAGCTTCGACGCTCGCTTGTCCACAAAATTTACCAAATCCCCCCCCCCCCCCCATCGCCGGCTTCATTAAAGCCGCCCAAATTGCACACTGGCATTTGCACAAGTATGCAAAGGTGGCTCTGGTTAAACGTTGAGAGATGTAGATTCCTACACTGTGGACTACGAATAGAAGCTATAAATAAAGTAGAAATGCTTTGTATTTGTGTCTAAGGTATAGAAAAATACACCCAGTTTTGCATGTAGAGACTGTAATGTTGCTGCATTTAATGCATAATTACAAAAATGTGATCATTTTACATTTTAAGTCATGATTTTAGGCAATTTACCCCCCCCCCAGCAGCTTCCTATTTGGCTTAGACAGTCAGTATGATAATGTGCTTCGAAGAATAAAAAAGAATAATGAAAGAAACTGAACTAAACTCAAGTCTCACCTTGAGGAACTTGTACAAGAGGAACGTGAACCAGTTGGTCAGCATCTTTTCAGCAACAGACTCCGTTCTTACAGGAGAAAAGCAGACAAAAAACAACAGTTATTAAAACACAACATCACTTAAGTCCATAATTTCTTTTACATTTCCCATACATTTCCTCCATAATCTCTTTTGAGTATTATGATGACCGGACTCTGGCTATTTTGGGGAGCTCTGCGCAATGTCATGTGACACTTTTTCACAAAGCATAAAAGAGAAAGCATAAAAGACCTGTTTAATTAAATCCTAATCAAGTGTCCCTCTCTTAACTCTGACCTTTTGCCCCACTGATCTACCCCAACCAGAGAGTTCCAATTTCAACTTGTGTTTAAATAAGAACTTTAATTTTTCATATTCAATTAACTAGCAGATTAAGGGGAGCCTGAAATGTTAAGCACAGATAGGACAAAAATCAAAGAAAACTTGCTTGTAGTTTCAGACTGACTGAGATCAAATACCTCTTAAGACTATTCAAAGCTTCTGAGCAATAAATATATTTGAAATATGGATTGGATGATTGTTTTGTTACATCATGCTGATTTATTCTTGGTGATTTTCACATCAAAGTATGAGAAGAAAAAATGTAAAAATAAAGACTATTAATTTGCTTAAAGTTGGTGATAATGTGCAAAAATTAATTGCTTCAAGTTCAGTGAACTAAAGAAAAGAAGTTTTGATATTAAATTTGTTTTTTATCATCAGTAGAGAAGCCAACTGTGACTAAATGTGCATTAAAAATACACAATTCCCACAGTGCCTGTTTTCTGCTTTCTCAAAATGTAAGTTTTCATCTTCAAACAATGCTGGCAAGACTGTTATTAAGCTAATCTTCCCCTTCCCTGGAAAATTAATTCGATAATTTTTGTTGCCACATTTGAATACATTCATTGAGGTGTCGAGTTAAAAGAACTTATGTGTAAAATGCTCAAAAGAATGAAAAAAAGACACACAAAAGCCGAAAAAAAACACATACAAGCAATACAAACTCAAAGGAAACAAACAGTTTCACATACATTCTGCAAAATGCTGCGTAACGCTTTACGTTGTGAGCTAATTCATTCGATCCTCTGCTCCTCACCTCCTCAGCAGCAGCTTGGGATGGTTTTTGCTCTCCAAGTTTCTGTCTATCAAGTCGGAGAGCAGCTGCTTCAGGACCCCGGTTGCGTACTCCATCTCCCCCTGTAGGGCCGTCATGATCAGAGACGCAACGTTGCCTCGATCCCTCATAGAGAACGACCTGCAAAGACACATTGAAACATGAGAAAAAATGCCAACATCATACTTTACAAATGCCATGCCGGGCTTTTGCTGAGTCTTGATGAAGCTTCCTCCTCTTGCACGCGCGCCGATAAATCTCCGTGATTGTATTAAACATTAACGACGTTGTGCTTGATAAATGGATATCTAAATTCATTGTGCTATAAACACTTTAGTTAAATCATTTACTGCACATTAAGATGTTAATTGTAACTGTCTGTTATAGTTGCCTCTTTATCAAGACGGTAATAAAAGGTTGTTTCCTCGTGGCAAGTGGCTCATTTTGCCTGAATGGTATTACCAAGTGTGAGACGTGTTTAAATATGCAAAATTGCCGCTCATCTGTAGAACAAATAGACGTTGATAACGGATGTAGAAGTGAAACAAAGTAGCAGGGACCTCTGTGCCTCCAGGGTTCGAATGAACGTCAGTAGGAAGTGCTTCTTGGTCAGCAGCTGGCCGAACAGGGTGAGGGCCTTCTCCACGTTGGCCTGGACCTGAAGAAAGGTGAAGAAAGGAAACATGATGACATTCGGCGTTTGCCTTGTCTGGAGATTGCAGATTTTACCGGGTTTATTTGCAGTCCCCGGATCCTCCAGATAAGCCAAAGTTACTGGAAGGACAAGTCAACACAAAGCTGTTTTCCTTCCCACGTTTTCACAATGATGCACTTTGAGTCTAAAGGCTCCACGGCAGGAGACACAAATCTCTGCCTATCTGATATTGGCTCGGTGAAAAAAAATTCCAAGTTTCCAACCTTTCTAAGAAGGTAATGCGGTGCGTTTTGTAAACCTGAAGAGACACCATCCAAAAGACCAAAACAAGTCTAGAAATCCCACCTTTAAACCCCCAGGGTTTCAAACCCCAAACCCCAAACCCCTAAATGCTGGCCGTTTGACTGCATTGTTTCCTTTCGACATAAATAATCCAAACTCATTCTCTCTGTTGTGATCGGAGTTTTTCTTTAAAAAGCGATGCTGACCTCCGGATTTGCTTCTGTTTTTAGGGACTTTTTTTAAAGAAAATGTCAAATCGGGGTGGTCTAAACCAGCTCAGCGTGCCACAGATCCTTCTGTCAGAGCGAGAGAGAGGGGGGTGTGGAGCGGGAAGAGGCATTGGGTCATTACAGGACTGCGGATGTGTGTGTGTGTGTGTGTGTGTGGGTGTGTGTGTGTGTGTGTGTGTCTGCGTCAGAGTCGGGTGACAGAGGTGCACCCTGCCTGTTCCACTGGCTGGCACCTGTCACTACTTATCAACAACACGCCAAAGCTCCGGAGGGACGACCGGCGTGTCACTCACTCCCTTCCATCTTTCCTCTCTTGACTGTTTCACACCAGCCGCTCCGCTCCGACCTCTCGTTTTCGGTCTCTCCTCCCCCCTTTTTGTCTCCCCGCGTCCCAAAATTCACGCGTGGTTTTCATCTATTTGTGCTCTACCGCTCTCCGTCTCTTTTGGGCACGCCGTAATAAAGTGTCTGGACCTCTTTTCTAAAGTGCTAAATGAGATTCTTGGGCCTCCAGGGGGTGGATGCTGAGCGTGACGTGTGCGTGAGCGAGGAAGAACGATGGATGAGGAGGAGGAGGGGGGGGGGCGACAGATGGAAATGCATGCGAATACCGCGTTTAGCTTTCGCCTCGTTTTTTGGATACCGGGTCAAAAAAGGGGAACGTTCACACATTTGGACGTGCGTGCATGAGGCGTGTGCACGGAGGGACTGTCCAGCTAAGGGCATGGATCAGTCGCATGGAGCACCTGTGTATCCAGGCCATTAAATACACCACCATTCCCAGAGGATTATACAGAGATACAACAAGAGAAGTCTAGACATGATAATAAAATATGGAAGCAACCTTTCCACGAAATTCAAATTGAATGTGTACGTATGCATTAGAGACATGGGAGGGATCACATTTGTACCAGACATCTTGATCCCTTACGGGCGATACATCTTGAAAATGTACAGTGCATCCTAGTTTTGACAAGAACCGAGTAAAGATGGAGGAATTGGGATATTTTAGATGGTGTTTTTTCGCATGAGCAAATAAGATGTGGCGGCTTTGCAGCTCCACAGACTCAGACACCCGGCAGCAGCACAGGGGGATAATTGAGAAAAAGCTAAACTGCAGAGAAATATCCCCAAACACAACGCCCTGTTGCCACGTTGAGAAAAAAAAAAAAAGCGCTGAAATTATTGGTGTATCTTGTGAACGAAGAGAAGGAGAGAAAAGCTTTTTAACACAATCATACACGAACAAACATACACACAGCTACACTCCAATATGAATGAACACTATGAATACAAAGGCTAACTGCTTGATTTAACAACCACATCCACAACTGTGAAAAAAAAAAAAATGGACAAAATGAAAACCTTTTCATTTATTTGTTGAGATCATTTCATCCAATGTACCTGACCGGACATTCAGTCGCCTTTTTAGAGCAGATGGATGCTAGGCTTTTTGGAAGTTATGAGTTCTGGAATCTGTTGATAAAAACTATGGTTAAATCAAACACTGGTTAAAGATTCTCAGCAGCCCGAGGTGTATTTTTTAAAAGACAGCCAAGACTAGTTCCAACAGGACTGGCAAGATTTGAGAAGCCATACAGAACGAGCTCCGGAATCCGATGTTACAGACAAGCACAGATTAGCAAAGCAGCTGGGTCTGAGGGTCTGGAGGTTTTTTTTTTAACATAGGTGACATCCAAAAGTCCACAAAGTTGATGGTTATCAGTGGACAAAAACAGCGGTGTACCAAATGGTTTTGAAGAAGCTAGCCAAGAGTAAGTATATTAGCAGACAACAGAGTGGGCCTAAGGACGGAGCCCTGTGGGACGCCACAAAGCAGCCACAGAGGAGGTAAGGTAATTCATCTGGACGACAACTGGTTCTGCTAAAGATAAATGAGCATAGTAGACTAAGAGAAAGCCCTACATTGCTGCTTAGGACTCTCAGAGATGTGGGATATTGTGTTAGCACTCAGTGGTGAGATAGGGATAGATTTCTACCAATGTCAAGGAGACGAAAAGTTCCCCGGAGGTGGAACAACTTCCCCTTAGAAGTCGTGACCTCTCACCATTGATCTGGATTAAGATTCCTCTATTTTTTTTTGTCCTTGATGAAGTTTTAAGGAACCAGCTAAAGGATACTCTGATATAAGTTTGTTGAGGTACAACACATCCAATCAACTGTCCTCTGCCTACTTTTCCTTTTGTTGAAAAACTCCCCAGCTAATCTATATTCTTACAAAGTTTGCATTATCGGTAGTCTTTAGTTTAATAGTCTCCCCTGAAAGCCACAGGGAGCTTTACATTTAGAAAAAAAAAAAAACTGACGATGAATCGCTAAGAATGAATTTAAAAAAAGGCACCAATGACAGTCGTGAGACCACCCAGAGGGCTTTTTTTCTGTTCTAAGAATATAAATCCACTTCTGGATTAGAGTGATTAAATTAAGCTGTAAAAGGTCAAACAAATTATTCCTTGACTCCAAAAGTCACTGCTCCAATCAAAGTCAATGGAGCAGCACCGGATTCTACATCTTAATGATACTGCTGATTACAAACTTGGCTCCGTGGTTTTTAGCTTTGGTGGAGAGTAGTTTATGCAGACATACTATTTATTTTACTTCCCCCGGTCTCGGCGGCGTAATGTCTTTATAAATCAGATGCTCCATTCTGCAGTGGCTGTGTGTGCTGGCTCAATTAGTCACTCAGCTGTAATACACCCCAAGCTACTTTACCGGTAACCCTAAATATTATTTTCCCTCTCTGATGGTCATCTAAACTTCCCCTTTTCTCTACATTGTGCATTTTTCACAAGATTTCTCCCTAAATGTTTTTTTTCCCCAGTGATTTTAACATTAAAACTGTTCTTATCAGTAACAAATAAACAAATAAAACACATGGATTGTACATTTTGAGGGCGGATGTTAGTTGATTAGTACAACCTCTACATTGTCTATTGTTAGTTTTTTTCTTTTTTGTTTTAGTGTCAAGTTTGGTTGATGGTGTACTGACCCGTACCTCCATCTCCTTGAGCACAGGGTGGTCCTCAATCCCAGGGAACAGGACCCTCATGGCGTAGGTCCGATAGTCCAGGAAGGGAATCCCCGCTCCGTCCAACTCCTGGGTCAGCTCGTGGATGTCTGTCTGAAGCTCCGCAAACGCTACCGAAAAAGAAGAAACACACACACGGAGACAAAGAGTATTAACTCTTTAAATAATGGGTTAAAGAAACTTTAGATGAGTTTCATCGCTCTGTCATGAATTAACAAGCCATGCTAACAGGCCACCGAATAAGCTCTTCACCAAAACTCTCCTCCAATGGGCTCAGTCCCAACAATATTTGGATATTTTGTATCAAGAAGAAAATTAATTTATATGGAAATGCCATAATCAGTGAGCAAACCCACCAGCATGACACAATCTGACCACGGTTAACATTTCTTGTTAGTTACGAGGAGCAAAATGTCCGACTTTCGAGTAAACAGAGAGCCGGCGAGTCTTTGATTAATGGAGCTATCAAAACAGATTTTCTTCTGTATGTTGTTTGGAATTTATCCGGCTATCTGTAAGAAGTGGGGAATTATGTAAAGCTACAGTTGGAGCATGACTGAGTCATTTAATTGGACAGTTCCGGCCTTAGTAGACATCCAGAGAAGAGAATGTACTTATTTACTGTCCAAGCTTGTGCATGTCTCACTGCACTGATGCTCTTAGTAAGATACTAAACTGCGATTTTGCAGAAAAAAAACACAAAAATATGAGCCCCGGCTGTAATATCTGGGTTTGTTGGTCAAATGACAGCAGAGCTAATGCAAAATGATAGTTTTTTAGTAAACTATAATCCAGAGAAATAATGTCAGGTAAATTAAAGTGACCGACTTAAAGAAAAAATATAAAATTGGCACACAAGAGAAAGTCCAGGGACAGAACTCTATGCTAAATATCCACGAGTTAGATGAGGAATCTGATAAGTTCCTGAGAAAGAAGACAAACATAACTGGCAGAGAATAATTTAAAATAAAGTGTATGAGTCTTATAAAACAGCTTATAAAAAAGCTGAGGAGCTGAGAGAAAAAGGTCAGGGCTGATGAAGAACGAGGCCCACACAGGCAATTAATGAAGACCATAATGCCAACAAGAGAGAGAAGAGAGTGAATCACAATAACAAATCCAGAATTAGCAGTTTAGTACTCGTGTTAAAGAATATGATTTATTTTTATTGATCTTTTCACCATTAAGTTGGAATTCAGGCTTTACCTCTGTTTTGGGTTTTTGACCTTTTTTTGTGTTATTACATTATATCATGTTGTATACTGTAATTAAAATTTCCAAATTGATATTCTAAACAGTACCAAGTAATTTTGTTTAGTTTATGGTAGCAGAAGTAATTTAAAGAGACAGATGGAAAGTCAAAATATAAATGTATCACTCAAAGAAAACAAAATAAGATAATAATGCATCTATATCGATTAGTAAAATAGCTTTACATTTATTTGTGAAAATAATAAAATATCTATGATGAAGGTGCAAGTACCGGTCCTCTTTTCTCTAAGCTGTCAACGAAACTTTGGTACATTCAGGCACAGCAAAACAAAATAGGAAAGTGTATCTTTGCTGTGATTTTAAGCTGTTATAGCTATTGATATGCAAAGCATTAATAAAAAAATAAGAAGGAAAGCCAGTTCAAGATGGAAAAAAAGCAGAACCAAGACAAAAAAAAAAAAATATTCCTGGAAAGGAAAGTCAATTAATTGCATGAGTGGATAATTATTAAGAGAGCAACGGATGAGTTTTCATGCATAATTTCTCCCAGCTGTTATTGGACTGTTTGGTTCACAAGAGAGATGAGAGAAAGCGGAAGAAGAGAAGATGAAGGGGAAAAAGGAGAAGTGATCGGGATGTAAAGATATTATAACGGAAGGGGAGGAAACTCAGAGGACTTGGAACATAAGCGGTAACGACAGAGGTACAGATGGAAAAAAGCAAAACAGAAGACACCGGCAAAGACGAAAGTGACAAGTAGAGCAAAATTCAGAGGAGGGAGAGGGAAGATGACAGGAGCCAAAGAGACATTGGAGGAGACATGGTTTAGTAAGGACTGTCTGATATAAATAATAATAATATTCTATAATATTCCAATCTTTCGAGCTGTATCTCAAATGCTTACATGTGCATTTTAATTCTTATTAAATCGTACTTTAATGCTACAAGGATATACCCTTTTTCATGATCATATCATTTTAAAATTGGATTTTACCAGCAAAAAATAAACAAAAGCTAAGTTTAGTGTGGGCAGAGGTGGGAAATTATCCGACTGCACAACCTGAAGGCGAGCAGATAGGTGGATTTCACCCAGAAAGCAGCATGAGTGACCTTTCAAAAATGGTGCAAAACTGGAAACACGAGGGATCAAACAGGATCGGCCCTAAACGTACCACCCAAATCCTCCCCGAGACGGTAACCCGCGGAGACGGGGATGGGGAGGAAAACGCCGGTCGGCCTGAGTCTGCAGCCTCACGTTTTGATGCGTTCTGACTTCTGCTGTTTTATCGTAAGCAAAATTAACAACTGCAGGATATCGCGTTGGAATAATTAGATGTTTTACAAAAATGTATCCCGGCTCTAATTTTCAGCTCGGCTGCCTTTGAACACTTCTGCCTCCTGCAGCCGGAGCACGGTTCAGCGTGCGAGAGGTCTCCCTGCCGACGACAAAGCCCCGAATGATGACGAATGGGGCGAGAAATGCGGATTTGTGTGGTTCTCAACACACCACAGCAGTGTTACGCTACACAATGACCAACAACCGAACGTGAAACACTGGAGTAGATCCTTATTTCTGAGGAAAACCTGGATATCTTTTATGGCTTTGACAGCAGAAGCAGCAGCTTTAAAAGTCTGATTTGGTGGTCAGCTTGCATTACGTTGCCTTTAACAAACCCCAACACACACACACACACACACACACACAGTAAAAGACTCTGGCTTGCCACTCAGCAGTTGTCTTTTGCAATGTTTAAGTAGCCACGCTCAGTGTGTGGTGTGATGCCCGCTTCTCACGGATGAATGCATGTCCACCCCCCCCGATCACACTAACAGCGCCCCGCCCACTTCAGCTGCTGCCCCGCCCACTCGCGCGGCCCCCGTCCCCGCCGGACAGCTGGGCGGGCAGCAGGCGGGGCGGGAATAAGGCCATGCTTCACGTCCTGCAGGGTTCGGGCAGTCCCTTTTCTGTTGACTCACACCATGATCTGTCTTTTTAGTCGCAGAAAAAATACAAAAAAACCCAGAAGAGAATGATTTTTGTCGCAGATTTCCTTTAAAAGAATTGAAAAAACTAAAAGAAATAGGACATGAGTCCCAACACATCAGTCGTACCTCTTTAACCAGTTCTCTTCGTTCTGTCTAGCCTCAATCACTGTGCGTTCTGTCTCTTTTCACAGCGATGAATGAGAAAAAGAACTTAGTTGGAGGCACAGACAGTGTAATAACATGTTTGACAGCTCCGTCAAAATCAAAGCGGGCGCGCATCACTCCAAAAGAGCCTAAAATCTATAGCGTCACAGCGACCCTGCGGGCAGTATGTTACACTGGGACTTTTTTTCTGCTCATTTGTCAGCCATTTGTGCGTCATTTCGGCTTCACCTGTAAGTAAAAAGGCAGAGCGGCGCTTGATTGGATCAGGCTTTATTTCTATAATCATCGTAATTCGCCCGAGAATAAAGTGGCTCTGATTTCCCGTTGTTTGTGCATGTATAATTGTGTACCGGCTCTGCATTTTCATAAATGAAACAGTCTTTTTTTTTTTATTCGCAGTGACTCAGCTCTGACAGTCGGGCTTTCGCCTGGGTAAACACACCCCGCAGACATCCTGTTGTTAATGATGAGCACATCATCCCACAGCAACTGATTGCAGATTCACTCGCATTAATACTGGCCTATATATGCATCTCTATCTTCGTGATGGTATTTTTACGCGGTAAAACGCACCTTTCAAGTGTAAATAGATAAAGAGTACAAAGACATATCCTCTAGCGCAGAATTCCCATCATGTAAACCAACGCTCCTTTTCATCATATGTTACTGGAGACTCAAATGAAATGGGTGTCAGTGCAAGTGATGGATTTTTAAAAGCAATTTATTGGACGTAAACCTGAGCAAAAGCACGATTCTGTCTGTCTGTGATGTTGGTCGTATGGCCGAACACTCATCATTTTACCTTTTGTTGTTTCTTGTGTTTAATGTGGACAATTTACCAAAATAAAGTGATTGATTGATTGATGATAAATAACACGTGTGCACCACGTTTGTTCTATCAATACAGAGCCAGCCCTCTTTTTTTGTTTCTTTTTTAAATGAGCCTTAACCAGGCTGTGCACAGAGATCGTTTGAGTGTCCTGGAGTGTTCTGGTGCTTAGATATAACTCAATAGATTCTTTAAACTTTGCGATCTGTGTGGGATGGCTCGCTTCCCGTGAATGTAATCAGGTCCCATCAGAGTTTGGAGGCTGAGAGAGCTCCGCAGATCCTCCGTTTCAATTCCCAATTCCTTGCCGCGGCTTTGCAAGGGTATTTTATTCTCTTCAGGGGTGAAGAGCTGTGGTCATTTAGCCCTTCAGTCGGGTCGTTAGTGACCGTTTGGATTGACCACCACAAATTGATGTCTGCAAAGAGGAGGAGGGAAGAATTTATGGGGCTAGTTTTGTCTCGCACTTTGATCCTCTCCAAAGTAGTTTTTTTTTTCTGGATTGCGATGTGGTCCTGCAAACAAAGTCTGACACTGGCGGGGGTGAGACTGGTCTGAAATGGTTAGCAAGTACATTTCCCAGCAAAAACAGAGGGGTAGTTACTTCTCCTATCAGTTATCTTTATGTTGTGGCCTATTGGTGTCTTCATTTGTCTACAGTGGGTCTTTTTAGTGACCATCAGCTAGCTCTACTCTTGTTGTAAACACTGCAAGTTTTCTTCTTGATGCACTGAATCTCAACCTGACAGTGGATAAATCTAATTTTGAAACTGTAAGGCCATTCATTAAACACCTTTTCTGACGTGCAACACTTGCGAACTGAATGATGAATCAGCAATAGTTTAAACAAATTAGTTTTTCCCTTTGGCAGCAAAATAGGGTTAGAAAAACCACAACCATTTTCAAGAAGTAGATTCAGACCAGCTAAGACTACCTGTTTGCGTTTCTCTCATTTCCACAAAATGGCCGCACAGTTTTCGGGGCTTACCTTCTTTACACTCCAGGGCCACTCTGGACTCCAGGTTGTCCATTTGGAGCTGCAGACGTTTCAGGGTGCGGTCAGCATCCCTGGACTTCCTTTTGTAGGCTATCAGCACGGCGATGATGACCAGCAGGAGCAGGCCGCCCCCGCCTCCGATACCGATGATGGCGGGCAGCGTTAGCAAGCTGTCGGAGTAGATGTGAAGGGTTCCGGGGGAGTACTCGAATCCTCCGGCACGGATCTGAACACACACACACGAGCAATTTCAAAATGAGGAGAGAAGAAAAGGCAGATGTTTCGCACACTTTGGCTAAATAGTCATTCATCAGAGGGGTGCTTAGCACAGATTAACTTCTGCTCTCCGCGATGATGTTCGACTTTCAGGTTTGAAATTATTCAAGCACTTCTAAAAGACCAAGAAAAAAAAACTAAACAACATGCGGCCATTTCTCTTTGCGAATGGATGAGGTGGTCTGAAGAGATCAAAAGCCCACCGGTTTGAAAGGGAAGCTGGCTGACCCAATTTTTTTTTTTTTTTACAGAGGGGATCATTAAATTTTAACCTGTTCTGTAGTCACATTAAACAGTCAGATCTTTGACGGGCTTATACTGTCGAGACTTACATCACCTTGACTGTTGTGAACATTTCTTGTAGGAAAAGGTTTTGCCAATTCCGGCCTTTAGGGGAGCGACTTCAGAGGGGCTTTGATAATGAAGATTTCACAGGTTAACTGCCTCCGTTTTATGGAATGCCGCAGTATCCGAAGAGGTTCTGCGGAAGGCTCGGTATTTGGGCCCGGATGTTTTGTTGTTAATGTCCTCATATTTCACTGTCAGCCTTAACTGATTTAGGTCCGAAAGTGACTGATGTGCGTGTGAACGAGGCCGAACCAGCGTTGTACAGAACGACACGGATGCTGATATCACGTGCACCAAAGAAACAGGATGTTCACACATACGAACACAGGGTATAAGTAATCAAACAAAGTAATCACCAGCATTTAAATCTCTCCCTAAGGAGCCGTGATAATTATGGAAAGTCAAACACATGTAGAGTTTTTTTTTTTTTTTTTTCCCGACTAACTACATTTACATATGCACAGTGTGTCACTGGAATCCATCAAATCAAGCTCTCCTCCAGGGGGTTGATAACCGATTCAAATTAAGTGTGATTATAAGCTTTAAAGTTCTTGTAAGAGCACTTTCATGTTGACATTAACAAAGTCTGATTAAAAAAAAAAGAAAAAAAAGAAAAAACAAAGTAGTGGAGCTGTTATATCAATATCAATGTAGTAAATTGCTACAAATTAAATTTGCAGTAGTAAAGACAATTAGACGGCTTTTCAACAAGAAGCAGCTAATTATGCATGTGAACATGAACGGGCTGCAGAGAAACTGAGGAGATCGATGGAAAACTTTCCTCTGCTTTTCTTCAAAGTGGAAGTTTTGGGGCTAATTATGAAGCCGGGGCGCCATTCCTCGAACTGATTCAATTAAGAGTTTGCATCAATCTGTATGTCTGAAGACAAAATGAATCACACACACAGCGGGATACGGTCTGATTCGTAAGCGCAAGTGGATTGATGTGAAGTCTCATGATGGGAAGTGCACAGAAATTGTGCTGAACTTTAAATAGAACTTGCATATCTTTCTGCAGCTAGCGGCTTCCATGTGTTGGTAACAAGCAAAGGTATCCATTCTCAGTTCTTATTCTTTTACTCCCCACTTGCCAAGCAACAGATGTTAACCTGACCACATCAAAACTGCTTTCAATCGCTCTCTATTTCATAAAAGGGGCGTCTGCGCCCACTACCTGGCAACGTACACTACCTGGCACCCTGTGTTCTGTGCATCGCGACAGAGGGAGTGTTTGGTAAAGGGGAAGGGGAGATAATTGCAGGTTGTTCCGTTTTGTTGCAGATGTTTGTTTTTATTCTGATAATTGGGTAAAAAAAAGTCATTAAAACCTTTTTTTTATGGAGACAGGAGAACTGGACTTCAATGGAAGATTTAGAGGACAGAAAAACAGCAAATCCAACATTGCTGAGAGCTCCCATTTGCTCATTTTTAAACTCTAAATGCACATCTCATGTGTGGATATCTAAGTGACTCTTAATAAAAACCATCTGGCAATCGGATGGAAATGAGAAAAAAGATTTATATAATTATGAGAAATGAAACACACCTGTTTCGTGCTTTTTGGCAATTGAAAGATTTCTCCAGACTTAGGGTTAGGATTAACCCTATAAGCTCCCTATAAGCTTCACGTGGCGTGGTTTCCATCCACGCTACCTCTGGCATTATGAGTAATAACTGTGCATCACCTGTCTCGGCGTGTCGGGGAGCCTTCGGTAAAAAAAAAACGGCCCCTCAATAACAAAATTAGAACAGCTTTGAAAGTGTCATTTTCCGTAAAAATTGTCTCTGCGTGAAACAAGATGCCGAGGGGCATTTGATTTAAATTCTAATGAGCTCTCATATGTTTGTTTTGCAGCAATTAAAAAAAACAGCTCTCTCTTTCCAAGTGTAAATGAAGATTGAGTGTCACTCGGAAAAATAGGAGAAAGCTTGGCTGGCACAAACCCCCCAAAAAACCACCGTTACCTAGTTTCAAACCCTCTCTAAGAATACAAAACGTCTGATATAAACCTGATTCTGGCTTGTCAGACGCTGGGTAGGTGAAATAACATCCTGGTCCTCTGTCACAAGCACGCTTAAGACTGTTAATCAGGGCGGCCGACATTAAATTCTGTGGAGTTTAAACAATATTTAGCCGCTGACACATTTTTTGAAGCCTCTCTATTTTGGCGGCGGATGAACTGGAAGAGCTGAAGGCCAGAAGCGCGCAGAAATAAGTTTCTTCGAAAGACTCAAGGGAGGAAAACCGGCTGCCAACGTACAGCCGAGCATCCGTTTTTCAGAGCACGCTTTTCCAACGTCCCCCCTACTGTACTCAGGCCCAGTGTCTGTGTCTGCTGCACGCCCGTCGGGGGTCCCCCCCCCCCCCGCATGTAGGTCACCGTGCGCGGGGGGGGAGTATTTTCGTACCGCAGATGTGTCCTTCTCCAGATGCCCGAAACACAAACGCCCGCAAACCACAAACCACAAACCACGGCGAGAAGATAGGAACAGACAGCTCTATTTTTTTTTTTTCCCCTCGACCATTGTCGCACGAAAAAAAAGGGCCGACTCCTCCTCCGAACCCCCACCGACGCGTCGCATCCCTCCGATATTTAACGTGACATTTTCGAAAGGGAGAAAAAGGCAGGGTAAATCGAGAGAAAAAAACTCCAGGAGAGAAGCCACCTTGGAGCCGGCCGGTTCCGTCGAGAGCCATCGCGCCGAATTACGCCGACGTGCTGTCGGTGGCTTTCGAGGTTTATTGGCTGTAGCTAGCAGGGAGTGAGTGTCGTAAAGATATGGGGAAATGACTGTGGAAGGACACCGATAATAAGTTTAAAGCGGTGTGCACGAGGAGGCGTGGACGGTTGAGTGAGTGGATGCTCTGTTGGGATGGTTAGACGAACTGAAGTGCGTAAACCGAATAAAGTCGGCGCCTGCCGGATGTGGCTCGACCTTTTTCCTCTGTTCAGATGCTCTGTGAGTTCGAGGATCTGTCGTGGTCGGAGCGAATCGGGGATGCTGACAGCTCAGCACGATGGACAAGTTCAGGAAGAAGCGGGGCAGCCTTGACTGTTCCATCCATCCATCCATTATCAATACCGCTTATTCCCTGATGGGGTCGCGGGGGGAACTGGAGCCTATCCCAGTGGTCAACGGGCGAGAGGCAGGGTACACCCTGGACGGTCCGCCAGTCCATCGCAGGGCCACACACAGAGACACACAAGGACCAACAACCACTCACACTCACACTTACTCCTAAGGGCAATTTCCCCAATCTCCAATCAGCCTAACATGCAGGTTTTTGGACTGTGGGAGGAAGCCGGAGAACCCGGAGAGAACCCACGCAGACACAGGGAGAACATGCAAACTCCACCCAGAAAGGCCCTGGTTCCCCCGGGATTCGAACCCAGAACCCTCTTGCTGGGAGGTGACAGTGCTAACCACCACACCACCGTGCCGCCCCCTTGACTGTTTCCTCAGGTGAAATTTGGATACGTGTATGTGTAAAGATATGCTCATAGACACATAGATGCATTTGGGATTACACTTTTCCCTTTAATGAAGCTCCAAAATAAATTACCTGTTGATCTTTGTTGTGCAACAGGCTGATAATCGTCAAAATTAACTTTTCAAAATGTTTGATAATCATTATTTGAACTTGTCGTGCCGGGAAAAGCACTTACTTAGTCAAAAGAACCTACAGAAGGCTCCCCTGAATCCTCCAATAACTGACTCAAATGAGAAGGATACCAACGCCCGGCTTCCTTAAACAGGCTTTGGATATTTTTGGTGTTATCACAGCTCACACGTGTGATCTCCATTCCATTTACTGACGGTTAGACCCATTATACTTAAACAGGAAAACCATGGCGGTTAAGCTGAGCTCATAAAAGATGGAGGGAAGCTGAAAGGGCACCGAGGGACTCTCACATCTACAAGCAGCAGCACCTGCAGCTGGAGTAAAAACACCTCGGCGGATTAACACTAGAAGGCCCAAAAGGAAGATGTAAAACAACCCCTTCTCTGCCTCACAGTTCATCCTGGTCAAGTTGAAGATATCATACGAAAAAGCGAATGATTTCCTTTATCCCACTAATGGATTTGACTAATTGCTAACAGCACGGCGGCTGACATTTTCAAAGTAGAGACATTTATCAAGGCTCGATTTTCTGAAGAAAGAAAAAAAAAACGGTTAGCGAAGCCCGTTAGCCTGTGAGAACCCACATGTTGATCAAGCATCACACATTTAACAACGGCCTTGGTAGGAAAACCGGATAGAACATATTCTGAATCGGTTAACAAAAAAAAACAAAAAAAAGAGAGGGGCAACGCCAGTTCCAGACAGTTGGACTAGAATATTTTCCTGAACGTTTGTTACGAAAAACATGTTCCGGCCGTGTCTGTGTGGGTTCCCTCTGGGTGCTCCGGCTGCCTTTTTGTAAAGTTCGATAAGTAAAGTCAATTGTAAAGTTCTCCTTGTTGTAAAGTGCTATATAAATAAACATTGATTGATTGATTGCCTCCCACAGTCCCACAGAAACGCGAATGCCGGGTTAATTGATGACTCAAAATTCCTTGTAGGCGTATATGTGTGTGTGTGTGTGTGTGTGTGTGTGTGTGTGTGTGTGTGTGTGTGTGTGTGTGTGTGTGTGTGTGTGTGTGCGTGTGTGTGTGTGCACGCCTGGTCACTCTTCTCTGCGTAGCCCTGTGATGGACCTGTCGTCAAGTAGATTTGTTAATATAAGTTTTTTTTTTTTTTTTAAAGGCAATGTTGTAATTTTTCTTGAACAATTTCCCATTGAATAAATCTTTAGGAGTGAGAACTTACACAGTAATTGTACCGGGAAGAAATTAAGAAAGGCAGATGTCAACCAGGAGAGGCTTAAGCCCCGAGTACAACGGTTAAGTTAGTTTTCACGCCTTTCATTTCGGGTAACTGCAACATTTGGCCAATCAAAGAGGCGACAACAGAGTGGAGCGACGCGGGCAGATGAAGAGGCGGGCAGATGAAGAGGGCAGGGATGGTCTGACCGTGACTTTGTGCTGTCCGGTGAGGTTGGGCCATTCACACAGCAGCTGGCTCTCCGACAGGGTGAGGACGCAGGGAGTCTCTCCAATCAGCACCGTGTAGTTCAGCCGATTGTTCCCCGGGGCCGCGGGGATCAGGTTCCGGCCCTAAAACACAGACGGAGACAAAAAGTTCTGAGATGAAGCCCGCAGTATGCATTTTTCAAAGAGAACAGCGGCCAAAGCTGGACAAATTCGCTGTGATTAAGTCTATTATCGGACCACAAAGCGAGCGAGGCATCACCAGTGGCTCTTCTTTTTAAAACGGCTTCCATCTGTAACCCCCTTCATCTGGCTAACAACCAACTCGTTCATAATGGCTAATATTTTTTCCACTAATGACACGATTCTTTGATGCAAATCAGTTTTTTTTTTTTTTTTTTAAATGAAGAGAGGAAAACGAGTCAGTGACAATGAAATCCCTCATTTGAAACTCCTTTGAAGGATAAGACTCTCCATATTAACAGGCCCCAGAGAAGACAATATTTAAAGAGGTCAAATATATTCAATATAATTTTTTTTGTAAAAAAGGGGGAAATCAGCACTTTTCTCCCACAGCTGGTTATTGTAGATGGGGGGGCTATTTTCAGACATGGATTAACATATTCTCTACTGCTCTGAGCTGGTATAAAAGTCGAAAGCAAGCAGGATTCCTACAATGTCGACGTTTATATTGAAGGGTCTCGTCACTTAGGGTTACCCAACTTTAATTGTTTAATTAAAGTAATTCATTTTGGAGGTCTACAGGAGTCAGCAGAAGTAACTTCGAGAGGAAAATGACGGAAAAAATTCACTTGATTTATCTCACATTGCTGATGAGCACAGTTTCTTTCATGACATATAGTCTAGCTAAATCTGGATTAGCACCAACACTCTTCATGACACCCACATGACAGGCACAGCCTTCTCTGATTTGCAAAAAATAAATATATGCATAAAAAATCGGAGAATGAGGCATCAGTTTAGTGTTTTTTTATTTGAGTGTACCCAAAAATAGGCCAATAAGAAAATGTGCTGGGGGCAAAACACTTGTAAATATGAGGATTTACAAATTGGAACCTCCTTTGGCAAAAAAAAACAAAACAGTAAAGCTTTATTATCTGGATTATAATTAGTTTCTTGTCTTTTTTTCCAACTCATGCTTAAAATTGCTGTTCAAGCCCAAATTTACCAGCCCTCCTCCACAGTTCAGACAGTTGGTATCAGGCGTTTGTGTTGACGGGTTGTGTTTGCTTTCCTCCAAATGTGCAGCTGTGCGTTTTCGAGCTTTGTCCAGAAGCAGCTTAGCAAACCTAAATAACGCTGCCTCGTTCTTTTAACACAGACGAGGCTCAAACCTTCAACCTGCAGCCCTCCTAAACCAGCCGGATGTAGCTTTTGGCTATGTGCAATTATTCAGAGCTGGCCTGTTGTCTTTCATGTGTTCCTACTGTGAATAATCCCCCCCAGCTGCAGAATTATGGACCCAATATTGTTTGAAAATGGCTTCATCCTCTTTCTCTTTGTGTCCCTGCATGGAAATGAGGCGTAAGGGCAAATACTGTGGCCAAAGTGACATGTTTCCCCCTTCATTTTTCTCCTTGACACAGTGTTAACACACACTCGGATGAACCAGACCAGTAAAATGGACAAATTACTGCTTTTATAGAGGTGGACAGACTTGCTGAAGATCATGTAATCAAATCATTTGGCTCGGTAGCTCAGTTTTTGGAAAGTAAATAACTACAATGACTTTTTTTTTTTGACAAAGTTGGCAGAAAATTCTAAACGAAGAAAGGAGTAGAAACAGAAAACAACAAGTGACTGCTGGTGAATAAAGGCAAACAGTGGATAAGGGGTGGCTAATGGTGTGAAAAGAGAGAATCCATGCGAAAGGAAGAAGACGAAAATGCATTAAAGGGGGGGACAAACGCAAAGAAAACAAGGCGGATGGAAAACATCAGGAGGGCAGGGGAGAGGAAAGGGTAGATAAAACACCAGAGAGGTAAAAGACAGACGAACGGGGGCAGCCCGGAATGAGTACGAACACAAAAATCAGAGCCGGTGAGTTAGAAAGAGAGCGAGTAGATAACTTCCACGTCTCCCGCTGGTTTTAACAGTAGGACGCTGAGACAGACTCCGTTTTGCAATCCATCGTCTCCGCAGGCCGCCTCCGCCAGGCCCCTGCTCCGCAACCCCCGTAAACATGCATCCCATTCCGTCGCACACAAACACACACACACACACACACACATGCAGTGGAGCTGCATAAAAACGCCGGGCGGGAGGCCTCACGCGGGGAAAAACGCTCTCCAAAATGCTCGCTAAACTCCGGGATCTTTGTTTTTACCCTTCTCCGTTCTGCACACATCTCAGGAAAAAATCCAAATGAGAAATTAATTGTGTGGCGGGGGGGGCACGGTGCGCGCATCTGAGAAGCTCTACCCCCACCATCACATCCCACCAAATTGCATTTTTGTCCATCTCATCAGCGCTTCCACCGGGTAAGCAGTTCCCCCCCCCCCAACAAGCCAAGCAGGAGATTTGTCAATTACCGCCAGGCCCCTTTAATAAATAAATTATCTTTTAAGAAATAAATTACAGCGGTTATGCCGCCTTCCATCTCTTCACGGAAATAAGAAGCGTGACGCCGTTTGATAACAAAAGAGATAGTCCAGGCCATTCTGGGTCTATCTGAGAGAGATAAAAGCACTGAACTTTGGATTCGATGCAAATGCGGCGCGTGAACGTGTCACCGATCTAAAAGAAATGGATTTTTAATTGTCTCTGTATTGTGGCAGTGTCTCTTTAATGGCCCGCGAACGGCGAGCGGCTAAATGACTGAGATGTGCACTTGAGAAATTTTGTTTACACCATCTTTGCTAATTTTTCAGAGACTAATCTCCCGTTTATTCCAGTCAGTTCTTTCCTTCAGAAGTTGTTTTCCAATGTTGCAGCTTGAGCTGACCAACCATGTTTAACAATGGTTGCACATACATCTGATTCCTCTCTGAAGTGTGTTCACAACTAGGAGGGCGGTAGGGATGCAAACGAGGGGCCAAAAAACAGGGAACGAAGAAATAAAAAGCACAAAAAGACAAAAAAAATACATGGAACTCAAACTAGTGACAGTGCAGGTAATACATACAAACCAAATCCAAAAACCAAAGTCCACAAAAACCTAAATAAGACCCCAGCTCATGACTAAAATGGGCAAACATTCCAGGTGAGCTCAGTGGGAGAATACAATGCCACCCACACAGAAATCTCTGAAATTGCCAATTAATTCCTCATACTTATGTCCAATCGCTGTTAACGAACGAGAAAAACCGGTATAATCCAAATCTGTTGGACTGTAGGCCTGTGTACTTGCACGCTGCCCTTCAAGCACAGAAAATTAATTACACAAATTGAAAAGACTGTTATTTAAGAGGGCTGGAGGCTGTGGAGGAGGAAGGCATTCAGAGAACTCGCCGTTACTTACTGAAGGACAGAAATTGGCCTTGGACGGTGTGAACATTTGCTTTCAGCTTTCATTTATGAATTGGAAAGTTTTTTTTTTTTTTTTTTTTCTCCTCCAAATGTTTTTAACACTCCAGAGACTTTCTTTTATGGTATTTTAAAACAAACCCTGCGAGTTTGTGGGCACATCTCAATCGAAGTAGACCTCTCAGTTATTAATAAAACATATTTTCTGTATGTTTGGGTCTGTTGTGGTCAACCGAAAGCGAGAAAACCTTGGAAGAAAGTGCATCCAAGTACCAACGCTTAATAAACCTGTAGCACTTTTTGTTGTGTTCTATCATTGCAACTGATAAAAATCTTTTGAAAAGAATAACAATTTTAAGCTTTTTTATCCTTTTTAACCCCAACCCTAACCCAACCCTTTATCCTTTTGGCTAAACAGATTAAAAGAGGTAATCATGCATTTTTGCCAGGATGTAACCAGCATACATGTCACAAAAACTTTTATTTCACAGACCCACAAAAAACTAAATTATGTTTGATTCACACTTTCTTTGGGGGCCTTTTCTACTTTATGTGGTCATCAAGTGCTATATAATATGTATAAAGTGTGATATCTCATCATGTATCTATAAAACAAACACCCCAGGTACTAAAACCCAGCAGAGAAAAAACAAAAGTTTAACAAAGGTTAAACTCGTTTTTAGACTTTCTGTTGTGCAAAGTTGTTCAGCTCTTTGACAGCCGTCTTCTGAAACCCACATTTGCTGGCATGCAGAGTTTCATCTGCTTTTTTTTCTTTTGTCACATTTCTTAAACGACTATCTTTGCCTTCCCTCGCGTGGCGTTCACTGTGGGGGTTTGTGCTTTTTTAGGCCACGCCGCTGGAGGCTAAACACAGGAGGAAGTTGAAGGTAGCGACTAACTCAAGGGGTCAACATTTCCTACAGGTAATGCGTCTGGTTGTGACAAGTCGCGTCCATTAACGGAAGTTTACGGCGAGCTGAGAGTAGAAAAGCCCAGCAGAAAGAAACGCTCACCCGCTAATGCGAGCTCGCGGCCATAAATCTGCGGTTATGAATGAAAAACTGGGCATTTGTGTCATGAATTAATAGCATAGCCGAAACACATTCACAACGTCTAAAAATGAGCCGTGTTGTGGACGAAAGAAGCAGCACACAAAAGCTTTCAGAAAGCTTTAAAAACGATAGAAAAACTTTACATCCGAGCTGTGTGGGAGTCTGAGGCCTTGCCACCCCCCCTCACTCCACAAGCTGTGTGAAAGCACGGGAATTTTTGCATTTGAATCTCTTCATCTTCACCACTGCAGACGAGAACATTTCCCTGACAAGTTAAAAAGTGTTCACAAAGCCTGTACAAAGCCTAGATAAGTACTAGCCAAATCTGTTTGCCAGATAAAAACCTCCGATCCCCACACTGATAAAAAAAAAAAAATGAAGGGGAAAGGCACAGGCAGGTAAAGAGAGGTGAATAGAATGAAAAAAAAAAAACTTTTTGTGCCGTTCTAACCTTGAGAATTAGTGGCGATGTGGGTTTGAGCTCCAGCACACCAGATGGACTCAGTGGTTCGAACACGGGGTCGGGATAGTAGCTGAACGTCTCATTGACCACCACCAGAGCGTTGACGTTATCCATGTAGAACCCGATCTCGTCTGGGCCCGTGCCAGTTTCAGAAAAGCCCAGGTCCGAGTCTGCCACCGACGGAGCCAGGCACACCATCACCGAGTTGTTGTACACGGTACAGTTCTGAAAAGGAGATGAATAAAAAGCAAACGTATTGAAATATTCATATCTTTAACACTTGATATGTGTATATTGCTCTGTTCTTAATGATAATTTCAAGATCTGCTACTGTGAAAAGCACAGAGCGCTGTCCCTTTAAGAAGAATGAGGAATAATCTGCTGGCTGTAATTCCCTTTTCAAATGAATGTAATGTGTATAATAACCCATCCTTTTTGTAAGTCAGTGTCCTGTGAAACTGCAATGCTGTGGGACTTATTGGAAATGTAAATTGGTTGCAAATTTATGATCAACTGTTAATAATGAGCAATGTGCTCTGTGCCTTTTGCTTGTACCTGAGAGTATTTACATCACTGCTTTGGAGAATACATGAATACACAATGTCAAGACCAATGCTGAATCAATGTACAGAACGCCTCCGATGGGCAGTCTTTTGCATTTTCTGAACAACAACGTCTATGATTGTTAATCTTCATTCAGAAGAAACTCGCACGTTCGGGCAACATTGTTGCCAAATCCAAACTGCCACTTAAAAACACAAGTGCAGACGGTTTCCACGTTCTCACATCAAAGATTCTGCAAGTTGATTTTTCCCAGCTGCCAGAATGAGCCGAAACCCGAGGGCTGTCTGGAAGGTGACGGAAAATGCAGCCGTGATTTGTAGCAAATGAGTGTCAACAATGAAAAAGCACCGGCGCAGTCCTTAAAGTGCAAAGCGGCACTTTGATAAAAAGCCTGTGTGGGCTGCGCTGTGTGGGCCGGCTGCCTCGGTAAATGACAGCTTTATCTGCGGGCTGAAGTGCTCCGGGGTTGTCTGCAGCTCCGTTTCTTAACCCTCACGGCCAACTTCGGCTATCTATGAAAATCACCAAAGACTTTTGTGAGCAGTACCTACATTGTATCTGTCTATCTATCTATCTATCTATAGAACCTCTCCTTTATTTCCCTCAAACCTTTTCCCAGCTCACTCGCACGCACAATGCGGTCTTGTCCCAGTCTGTGTTTTTTGTGATTTCGACATTGGAGTGGTGCAGTGATATCTGAAAAGCTGCAGCCTGTGGCCCGAGGAAGTGTTTGATGGCTGCGGCTGCAAAGAATTAGAAAGAGATTTAAGCTGAGAAGCAAACCGAGGTGGTTGTTGGCCAGTGGACCTCTGCTCGTGGAGGGTTGCCAGTTTAAACGCGCTCACTGTGCGTACGTGCAATCTGAATGGTGTCACATGTGGTCAGTCGTGCTAGCGTGTGCTGCGGGACGCATTAAGCTAGCAGCCCCGTTTTGCCGTTACATCAGAACTCACGTGAAAAGACTCCGCCTGACCGTACTTGGCCCGGATCTTCGGCTCCCGAATGGTCGCCAGGTTGGTCCCGCTCACCGTCAGCAGGGTCCCGCCGCTGTCGGGGGGGCAAAAAATAAGATTACACAGAAGAGGGAGTTAGCAGAGGAGTAAAAAAAATAGAAACGGGCATTTGTTGGAAAAGAACACGGCTAACAAATCTCAGCATTTCTTTTTTTTCTTTTTTACTTGCAAGCAGACAAATTTGACAGTTATTAATTATTTCCCCCCCCCCATAAGACAAGCTGATGATCTGGGATCGCACCCCGAGGTGCATTTTATAAATGCTACATGCTGTTAGAATTAAATAAACACAAAAAAAAAAATGCCAGAAGGAGAAAAAACATGTTATTAAACTTTTTCTCTTGTACCTTTCTTTCTACATAAAGCCTGGAGGAAAATCTGCATATTGAACAGTGTTAATTGTAAGATAGTTTTTACATTAGCTCAATTTTGCCTTTGGAGGATCACTTTTGTCTTATTGTCTCTCATGTTGGGGTGACCCTAAGTGACCCATGCTTTGAATGATCCCCAGAGCAGCTAATGACTGACTCAGAGGAAAGATCACGGAATAAATAAGGTTTTCATTACAGGGACTCCCTTCCTCTTTGAACAAGTCTTTCCACTGATAAAAGTAAATGAGATTTATGAGCCCATCTCCAACGATGTCTTCCCCTTCTTGGCGCTCTCTGTTTTACGGAGGCACTTTCAGTTTCGTGCAAGATCACTGCCTCTCACAGCTGCTGGCCTATCTCTGCCACAGAGACGTATTGTTTAGAAGACTCTCTATCCATGTGTCTTTCTAACCCCCTTCTGGGGATATGCTCTGGTCTCCATCATGCCTGACTGAAATAAAAAGAGCTGAAATAAAACCTTCCATCCTGAGGAAGGCATAAACAACGTGGAAGCCGAGGCGTTTTTTGAGAGCACGCTTGGTATTCGTGGGCGATTTCTGCGTCTCGCTGAAGTCTGTTCTCGGGATAACAACTCTCACGGCGAGGCGTCACCTAAAAAATGTTTCTTTCTGCAGATGTCCTGCTGGCTTTGGGTGACACGTAATGCACCTAATTCTCTCGCGCGGAGATCTGTGAGCCTGACGGCTACGCTGCGCCTAAAAGAAGATTTACACCCGGTGTTTGGTGGAGATTTCGGGGTGTCAGCTCTCTGCAGAGAGATGCAGAGGCACGAAAAGGGGACTTCACTCAGAGAGCTCAGCTCTCGCTATTCCTTTCGATAATCGTCATGTAGGGGAAGTTCAGATTATTCAAAGGATTTGAAGAACTGACCGCTGGATAGCCAAGAGACCCAACATCAACCAAAGACTTTATTCCTTCCTCCAGTCCTGTGGGATTCTGGATAACTATGTAGGATTGCGGAGATCTTTTGGGTCTGCTTGCATTGCTTCAACGAAAAAGTGGCTAAACTGCCACAGAAAGTGTCCCCCAGGCATTCAACAGTTTGACACCAGCTGAGATTAGCTTAGCTCAGCTTTTACAGATGCAAACAGGCCGTTTCCTGAGTTGTAATTCTATGTACGTTGGCCTTCGCGCGTTTCAATTATGTGAAATCCCCCCCTAAAATTCTGAATAGCTGCTAAATGAGAGGATGTTCCATAGCCAGCCTGGAGGAGCCAGTATTAAGATCATACAAGCAGAGACAATTCTGCCATGGCATTGTGCCATTCATTAAGGCAAGCCTCAGTCCGTCTTTAGCCACGCTAATACAACAGGCCACATTCCCCCAGCTCGGTTAGGATGTATTACCGCGGACTTTTGCAATATGTAGGTCTTCTTTTATAGTCAACATTAATCTGACACTTATCCCCCATGACTTAAAGCGCGAGCACAAGAGCGGAGCAAAAGATATGAGAGGAAACAGAGACAGAAGCTCTTAATATCTTGGACTGGGTCTGGCTGGATAACACCAGACATTCATCTTTCACTCTAATCCGGCAAGACTCACAGTAGCAGCAGATAGTAATGGCGGTGAGGCGGGGGTGAAGGATAAAGGCAGGTGCACCGTTCCTTCTAGTGTAGGTAGATAAAAGACTTCAGGTCTGACGACTCTTCACACCGACTCTTTTTGTATCCCGAGATTTTAGAGGGACAGCTGGTCTTAGTCATCGTGTGGATAAGGCTATGATTTTTTTGTGGATGTTTTAGGAGGCATTGAGTCGTTCGGTGGCATTTGACAGTGAACCTAATGGTATCTTTGCACTAGGTTTTACGTCTGTGCTCTCTTCATATTGACTTCCGTAATGCTTTATCCATGGCGCTTCCGCTGGAGAGAAATCCAGCTTAAGAAACTGCGAGGGAGACAGGACCAGCCACTACAACCCAGACGCAGCGAAATGGTGTACTTATATAGCACGGGCTAACAAAATCAGACCATAAAAAAAGAAAAAAAAGGTAACAAGGCAGATTCAAATCAAATCGGTTCATACCATTCCAATAGTACATTTAAAAAATGCTAAGAAAAGAAGAAAAGTAGCCCCATATCTTATCGTACTGTGGATTTCCTGACACATGCACAGTTATCTCACTTAAAAAAGAAGCCAAGAACTTGGCAGATTGGGATGTCATTGCAACAACTGCACCAGAGGACTAAACTAAATGTCGTAGAAAAGTGGCTGATCTGGAGCTCCTTTTCCCCCTTCCTCCCCTCTCCTCCTCAGCTTGATGGGTATTTGCACTGAGTCCCTCTGTCCCAGTGGCTCGTCTCTTTGTCTAAGTGAGCCTCTTTAGCTCAGGTACATGCTTCAGGGAACAGACAACAAGACAGTGAGGATAAACTTCCAAGGACAGTCCTGGGGAAATATGCTGGGTAGTGTTCGTCTCGCTCCCTCTTTCTCATGCCGTTTGCCCACCTCACTTCTTTTTCACGTCTACTTGGCGCTTTCCCTTTTTCTCACACTTTATTAGAGCTAATCCTCTTCTTCCTGGATTTGAACTGTTTGTCACAATTGGGGATGCTTTACAAAAACACAAAAAAACAGTAAGCACATTTGTGTCACTTCAGTCGTTTTGGTGCATCCTGACTTATTTCTTTCTATTGTTACCCAACATTCAGTATCTGTTGTATTTTTTTTAAAAAACAGGAAGAGCTGAAGGAAGAAGAAAACACCCCTCTGTTTTGTTTTGCATAATTATGTCTCTGAGGTGATGGCAAAATGGGACATTCAGTGTAATCAAAGAAAGTATGTAGTCGTTCGCTCGTGTCAAGTGAAACTTTGAAACATGTGGCCAAATTAGAAGGGCAGCAAATGGACATTCGGCTATGAAGTCCCTGCTCCCCATCACGGACATAAGTAGATTCCTAGTCTTTAACACACAGTGGTTACATTTTAGGTAAATGTGAAGTAGATGCACAGCTCTGGCCAGGCTAGCGGGCTAAAGTAGAGCTAACTTAGCTTAGCTAAAAGGCACCTTGTTAGCTGAAGACTTTGGATGCCTCATACCCTGCTTTTCCACTGTCTATTTAAAACAACGTTTGAATATTTTGTGCTAAAACTCTTTAAACACCTCCTATATATCCTATTCCGGATCAGCGCTTGTCATTAACTTATTTAGTAAATGCTCTACTTTCTAAAACCGAACATCATCAGCCAAGCAAAAGTGACTAAAAAACCTTCCAGAGTCTCTCAGAGGAAGACAACGAGCCTTATCTGCGTCCTGGGCAAATAAAAAACCAGGAAAGAGACTGACCAACTCAACAAACCCTAATATAACGAGACCTCAGAAAACCCGCTGAGATAAAGGCTAAGTTCTTTACTACAAACCCGAGCATCCATCATAAAGACCAATAAGAGTGTGTATCTGACCGCCCTGACAGTAAATCCACTTTAACGTGGGACTGTCTGCTTGTGTGCGTCCCCCGCTGTTGATGCAGCTGTCATGTTCAATGCTGAGCAGTGGAGGATCTTTATGTGTTTAGCCGCGGATGGAAAATACTCCGCGACTGGCTGCCGAAGCCCATGAATTCTGGGTCAGAGAAGTTCAGAGGATGATCTGCTCAGATGCACGGGGGCGTTCCAAGTGCCGAGCACATTCAATCAATTAATAAATCAATAAATCGTCTAAACACGAGCTGACAAACGTTTTTGCCGGTTTTTCTCCTACTCCTACTAAAAACGTCTGGCTCGAGTTGGATAAAAAAAAAAAAAAAGTCTCCGGCGGCGCTAAAAGTTTACTTCCCTCTAAATATGCTGCCTGATCTCTAACGCAGCAGTCATGTCTGCTCAGACCGCTTCAAGAAAAAGCCCAAATTAGATCTCAGGCTGCCAAATTCGGATTTCCTAAAGCTAGTAGCTTCTGCACAAATTTAGTCTGCGCTCAATCAAGATTCCTGCTGCAACACCATCCAGCAAAGATTTAAAAAAAAAAAAATTAACTTAAAAAACACATTTTGGTGAGTCAAGTGTGTTTTTTCAGTTCAGTTTGTATCACTGAGGTAGAAATGTTCAGACAAATAGTAGAAATACCCTCTTTTCAGATGTGCAAGCTAAATTAAGAGACTCAATATGTAAATTGAAGACAGAAATAAGGTATTTGACTAAGCAGGTGATGGCAAACCCGGCGCGTTACCTGGCAATGCTCCAGTCCGGTTCTATTCTCAGGACGGTGGGGTCCTCGGTGTAGTTAAATTTAACCTCCGGGTTCCTGAGCTCGGCGTCATCGATGTCCACCAGGACCGATGAGGCCCCCGCTGCCAGTCCAGCTGGTGTGACGCACACTATTTCACGGGCGTTCCTCCTGAAGGACGGACAAAGAGAAAAATTTGGGGGTTAAGGGGAGTCCCCGGTCACCACCGAGCCAATTAAACACGCTGGCCGGGACAAAGGAATGTAAACAGACTAAATTGAAGACTTCCAAAGCCATTATGGACGGAAAGGCTGCCCTTCCTAATGAAAAAAAACAAAACAGATGTAACTTTTGATTAAAATATCCAATATTCATGTGAAGAAAATGTGAATCATCAGCAAATTATTAAGAAAGAACCAATTAATAGTCAAAAGGGGCTCATTTCCGAAGGTTTTTTTTACTTGAAATGATTGGATTCTTTAGGTCTAAGCAAGACAAACGTCATTTTTAAATGACTTATCTTTAAATTCACCACTAACCATCACATGGCTCTAGGGTTGTCACGATACTAAAATTTTCAACTCGATACCGATACTCAGAAAAATACTCGATACTCGATACCATTTTCGATACCACAAGGATAAAAACAAAGACCCCAAAATTTAACTGAATTTTGACAGGTTAGTGTCTTTCATTTCAAACTGACCTGTAACTGATGTTATCGTGACTGGTGGCCTGTATTAATGACCCTGACCCTAACCCTAACCCTGACCCTCCAGCCTTCATAATTGTGAGAAATAAATATTTTTTGGGTGAAACTTATTGGTTCTTATTATAAACTTATAAACTTATTTTTTGGGTTTGGACTTATTGTACAAACCTATTTAACATCCACTATTTTAACATCATATTATGGATAGAGTTTAATTCAGTGTTTGAAAGATTAATTTAACTATTTTTTAAATTATTGTCTATATTGCCATGAAGCAATTAGGATTTTCTTGCCTGGGATCTTCCTTTTGGTGACGTAATCAAAATGGCCGATTGGATGTGGGCGGAGTTTGATATGTACTTGATTACTGTTAGCGTGTTGTTATTAGCAATTAGCCGCAGATAACAGTTCAAGGCTAACGTCTTGTTAATGATCATAAACAACGTAAATAAATACATAAATAAATCAGAGAGAAGGGGCGCAGCGACGGCAGGTCAGCGTCGCGCGCGCGCTCGCGCGGGCTCGCGCGGTGGTATCGATACTTTTTAAAATGAGTATCGTATCCGGATACAACATTTTAGTATCGATACTTTTTTAAGTATCGATACTTTTGACAACCCTACATGGCTCACATTTTTTCTCTTTACATAAGAGTTAAACCTATTTCATAAGATAATTCTTCATTTGGCCATTGTGTCTCGGCAAAGCAGCGGAATTACACACAGAGGTACAAAAACATCTGTGAACCCCTTATCAAATTTGTATTAGCACTCATTAATAATCCATAAACATTATAATGCATAAAGCATCCAATCCAAATGTGTTTGAGTGTTCTAAGTGTAACCGGCGCAATCACTGACTCCTTATTTTTAGATTTCCAAGGTGATAGAACTGAAAGCAAACAAATAAAGAATGCCTACTATTAGTAGTTATTCATTTCATTGACTTTTAACGATAAAAGAAAATAACTTGTTCATATCTAATGCCTCCTTTTTCCCAAAGAATGTGACCAATCTGTGTGGACTGTATGTATATTTGGCTGCGATAAGACTCCAGTATGAGCCAGACCACCTCCAGATTTACACCACACATTAGAAAGCATTGTTTCTGATCCAGATAAGCGAGCCAGAGAGTGATAAGCACATTAATGCCAGGGGTAAATGTTGTCGAAATGAAAAGGCTGCACTGGGTGTTTATCCACTTCCGATCTCCGTCTTCATATCACAGAAAAGCTTCAAAAAGATAAGGCCCCCCCCCCGAAGAAAACTGGAAGTGTACAGAGCAAGCGTCAAATCTCTCTCAAAGAGAAAAAAGGTTGTAAATAATGTAAAGTAGAAAACGGGCTTTGTGAAAATTCCCCCCTGCAGATTTTCCAAGTAAAATGGGGATGAGTTTCGCGATACTGGGCTGAGGAAGGAAAACGGGTTTAATGAGGTTAATATGCACATGCAATGATTGCTGCATGTGTGTGTGTGTGTGTGTGTGTGTGTGTGTGTGTGTGTGTGTGTGTGTGTGTGTGTGTGTTTGCAAGTCCCAGAGTCAAAATATCATCTTATGAGATGCTGTCTTGAGCTGAATCTCCATTAGCTGTAATACCTCGTATGTACTTAGCACATCTGAGGGGCGGTTTGTTGGATTTGTGGGTAACGACTTTAAGGAGGAACGCAGGTAGACAAACCGACTCACACATCGTCGCATCCCCCAAAATGATGTCATTCACTCAGGAGGAGGAGAAAAAAACGTGCGAGAGATGAAAAGAGATGGAGAATCTTCAATATCCACTCTCATGTCCCTTGACCGGTAACTATAGCAACCCCATTCGAGGGAAAAAAAAATGCAACAAAAAAAAGAAAACAAATGCCCCCAGAAATCTTCCCCGAGATGCTGCGAACGCGGCCGCGCCGTCAGGGTGTGACAGATAAAGAGCCAGCGGAGGTGAGGTGAAGTGGAGTCGGCGGGAGATTACGGGCGAGGAGGCCGCCGCATCAAAGCCGGCCCGCCGTCGCCCCGGCGGAGATCATCCACGGGAGGCTAATCCACGCGTTTGACACGCCAAGCCACCGCGGTTGATAGTTTTGGATGCCTTCGCGCGCCAGATTAGGCGAAAAGCCCGCGTGAGTTCAGACAAAGAGATGCTCTCTGTCTGCAAAGCAACAAGCAAGGCCCGCTTAATACAAAGAATCCTCATCCCCCACACACACACACACACACCAAAACACACACTCATGACAACGAAATTCCCACTCTGATTACATGCTTACATGTGCATGTAATATCTTTATGGTAATGACATCGCTCATCTTCAAGCAGGGAATCTTATTTAGGCACATATGCAATTTTTTTTTTTTCCTTTTTAGCTTTTATCTCCATTCACACTCCCTGCACTATCAATAATACCGGCAGCTCGCAACTTCCAACTATTGTTGATCTTATCTGAAACAATCATTGTTTTTCCTAAAGTGTGAAGCACTTCGGAGTACTGACGTAACTTGCTGATGAGGGGGTGCATCAGAAAAGCAACATTTTATTATCCAAACTTCATTAATATGAGTCAGAGCGAAGTTGCTTCTTTGTTTTTTATTATTGTGTATCATCTCTGAGTCAGATGGTTTTTAAAAAAACGGCATTTGCATGCAAAGCAGAGCGACAGTATCTACAATATAGCACCGACTGTCAATGTCTGATCATAAAGTCCAAAATCAAAGGATTTTGTAGTTTTGTTGGTTTTAAAAGGCGAAAAAAAAACGTTTAATTTCTGATGGCCCCAGCTTGAGCACTTCGGTGACCCATTTCAGTCCCAACTCTCCTGACTTACTGCTCCCGCTGTCCTCAAGTGGCCATTTCAATTCAAAGGACGAGACCTAAACGAAATGCGTCAATGGAGACTTTACCTTTTGAAGTGGCAGGGCTGCGGTCCGATTCTGACCGACACGTAGCTGCCCGCGTTAAGGTAGCTTCCCTCGATGGTGACCCGGGTGCCGCCAGAAATGGGTCCCTGAGATGGCTGAACGCGGGCGAAGTAGGGAGTCTGAAGAAAGAAAAACGAAAAAAGAGTCAAGCAAAAACAGTTAAGAGATGCCTTAAACAAAAACGTTCAATCTCATAGCCGAAAACTGATGCAAAACGTTTAATAAAGTGGTTTCAAAACTCGTCGAGGACAAGCAAGAAACCAGCAAAAGGCCTTGGAACCCTGAAACAGACTGACACAACCATTGAAGGTTCATCTTGCTTGGGTTCTTACCACAAAGGTGAAAGGTCGCGGCGACAGGGCTCTGTAGTCGTTTATACAGTCCCTCACGCACACCTCCACCTGAGCTTCTTGGACCCTGTAGCTAGTGGCATCGTTCAGCAGACACACTATTCTGTAGATGGAGAAAAGCGTAAAAAGATCCACCATCAGTTAAAAAAACAAAAAAACAAAAAAAAACGACTACTATCGACGCACACTTTACGATGACAGAAGCATGAAAACATGAAACACAACACTGTTAGTGTTCCAGACAAGATGAAGGACTGGTCACATGATCAAAACCTGGCTTTTTGGCACAATCCAACAAAGTGACTTCATTGTTTACAATGAAGCAGCTCAATCTGGATCTCAGGTTTGGCGATAGGCAGTAAAAGGAGAAATGGGGAAGAAAAAAAAAAAAAAAACGCAGCGAGGAGTTTTTCTGGGGTGTCAGGATTAATGTGCTGACAAATAACGCGTGCGCAATATTTGAGCGGAGACGCCCTCTATCTCCACATGCATCATTTCCCGACTAACTGCACTTCGGGGAGAATGTTTGATCCGCGTGAACTCAATCCCTCAGCCGTGTAGGACCCTGCAGAGGAGTAAATGCCAGGATGGAGGGATGAGAGAAAAATAAAGGAAAGAGCATATGCGGGGGGTAATGGAGGGGAACGACAGATGGAAATTTACAGACATTCACACACACACACACACACAAAAAAAAGCTAATGTCGCTTTCTTTTTCTGTTGAAACATCTTCAGGTTACAATACAAATTCTGGGCTTCGCGATCGACGATGTCCCTTTTTTTTCTTAAATATTTTTCTTGGACTCACCTCTCGGCGCTCACGTACTCCTCCTCCATGGGCACACAGGGCACCTTCCCCAGCCTGACGCCCATCTGGATGTCTCTGAACTGCAGACCCAGGTTTTCCCCCCAGATGGTCACCCTGGTTCCCCCTTGACGAGGCCCGGTCTCGGGGAGCAGCTAGACCAACGAGAAGATGGGGGACAGGCGTCAGGCGGGATGGAGGTTGGGGGCGCAGAAGAGCTTTTTTGATGGGTTCGGGTCCCACCTCGCATCGGCATTTGCATACATCTACGCGCACTCTCCCATCGGGGCCAGGAAAATGAATTAAACATTTTTTACAAGATGTACCCCCGTGGGGCCAGATTGACGTTTTAAAAAAAAAACGGTCCTTAACCATGACATTGCATGGACACTGTCACACACGTCACAAGGACATAAAAAAAAACCACAACGCCACAAACCCACTGCATGTGTTCTGCTCAAGGAGCTGGCCTTATCTGCTGATTTAAGTTTTAATGAGGAAAAATCACCGTTTTCGCTTTGAGAAAAAGGAGGGAGTGGGGAAAAAACACAAACACACACACAGAACCAACACCGCCCGGTTCGGTCTAATTTGGAGAATGGATAAGTTTGCAAACTAACTTCAGCCTAAAAAACTTCAGACTAAAAAAATCCAAGAAAAATAGGAAGAATATTGGATTTTTTGGGTCTGAAGTCTTTCTTTGGCCCGTCAACAACATATGAAGAAAGAAAAAAACAGAAATTATTTTGATAAAATTAGCGTGCAATAAGCAAAAATATATTTTCGTGTAGTCTTCTACTGGCTGTTATCAGATATATCTGAACGTGTACAACAGGGGTTTGAGAAAAATTTTTACCACTGAATGATGCAAAAAGTCTAAGATCCAAAAGACTTCAGAAACCGTATCAAATATGATAAATTTGGCATTATAGGGTTAAAAAGCTTCTAATGTTAGCTGATGAACAACATTGTTGAAAAAGGCTCATCAGAGGAGCTGGAGTTGTTGATATAAGGAGGAGCATCCAACTAAAGCTAACTTCAGTTCAGCTCTCTGTACCAGGGTCAGACTGTGTTTCTTATTTAAAAAAGTTGAAAGCAGCCACAACTCTGACCAAAACTCATCTCAGAGTTAGTTGAAACTAACTCAATAGTGGAGGATTTTCTAAATTGTCTCATTAACTCTTCTGTGTGGGGAAAAGCCGGGGAAAAGACAGCTTTTTTAAATCTCCATAAAACCCAGTTTGAATTCAGGTTGCTGGTGACTTTAGTGGTCTGACCAGTGGTTGAACATTTTTTTACAAAACTCGGCATGGCCAAGTACGTTTGACACAATCTCATAATTTACTGGGAACAAAAACAAATGTCAGGAAAACGAATTCATGATTACAGTGAAAGCAATATGACTGAGCTGATAATACATATTGAATGGAAAGGGGTAAATATACATGTGAAAATGAGGATTTTCAGTGGCAGCAATGAGAATTTGGCCGAGTCGCAGCTTCCAAAGACGATAATGTCATGTTTCAATATCTAATGCCTTTTAAAAGACACTCTAACAACACTAAAATAGACATATGGATACTTAATCCATTCAAATTCAATAGCGTTTCCTGCCAAGAAGAAACCCAATAAAAAGTACAACGCAGCCTCCAAACCACATTTTGGAAGCAACAGCCTGTTGGAAGAGAAGATACCATCAGAGCCTGAAAACCGGCTCTTGCTTTGGGGTTGTAGTTTTTAGACAAACAATATCAATCCTGTGTTTAAAAGAGCGACCGACAACGACTGAAACGAAAGACAACCTGCGTTGTGTTTTGGAGTGTAAAAAATGACGTCCAGCTGGCCGCCATTGAAAATCCTCTGTAAGGCAACACAGAAATTGCAGTAAACTGAAACAAAATCTAGAGAAAGACGCAGTTGGAGCTGTCTGGATGTGGATAAGGCCCACCATTTTCAAACCGAGCCTGGGGCACCGGCTGAGTCTCTGTACTTTGGTTCCACAAACACAATGGCTGGTAAACACTGACCAGAGCGAGCAGCCATCAAGCTCTGGGGTACGATACGGACAACAGATGTCAGAGTGTGGAAATGGGTCTTCAGATGGTTTTTGGAAGAAAGACGCTACGATTCTACAATACACAACATCAGCTAGCCACCGTGCCCTGGGATATAAACGCCAGCGTGGTCGAGAAATCGGCGCGCTGTTAAAGAGATTGCTCCCATTATCTGAGCGGGAAACACCGAGCGGGGTATGGGGACACATACCACAAAACACCAAAACACCAAAAACACGTGCGATAGCTACCAGGCCGAGGCAAAACCGCCTGAGAAAAATCTACATGGAACAGCCAAACCGGACCATTTTGCTAAATTACCTTCTCTAAAAGTGTTTAACCTCCCCTTTTAGTGTGTGTGGCAAACAATAAAGCAAAGCCAAGAGGGAAGTAGCATTAAATTAGTAGATTACATGCTGTAAACTACCAAATTGTAAGACAATTGTACTTAAAGCTAATGATGTGTCCCCTGAATTTGCAGAGCTGCTGAATGACTGTCGAACACAGATTTTTTTACACACAACGGCGTTTCAAGTAAATGCAGTGCCGTGTTTTTTCAGCTCAGGTTTACAGACTCGAGCTAAAGTACCAGATGGAGCCCGAGAGAGCGAATCACGGCCGTGGCCTCTTTAGCATGTGCATAAACGCTTTCTTCAGAACAGCTGCGGCTCATCGAGAAAAGAGGTGGACACAAATGTGGTTGTAGGTTTTTTTTTCACGTGTGGCTTCTTTATTAAGGCATCAAATCAGGATGGGTTCAGGTACACGGGAAACAAGACGACCGCGTTTAAAAGCTTGCTTAAAACCACAGGAACCACGACTGCCTCCCAAATTGGTTTAGGTTCTTATGATAGCTTCATCATCGTTTGTCAAAGTCCTCAGAGCCGAAATTGATCCGAACCCCAAATTGATGGTTTGTGCATGTTTTTGTGGAAAGTGTCACCACATGAATTAAGCAGGCTGGGTTCAAGAAAATAGAAAAATCTCAAAGCTGTGGAGGAATACCTAATTTTTCAATGGTTTACTCTTTGCACATTTCGTGGAAAAGGGAATCCGATGGAGGCGAAATCCCCCTCTGAACCTGACATCTTGAGTTTACAAGATGTCAGGCTCCTTTTCCCATCTATCTGAAGCTTGATTATCGAGATGCAACATATGGAGCCATAGATCTACACTTATTAGGTACTCTGAAGGACATATTGTATTTGCTGTGTACCACTACAATTGTTCCATGACATCTGGATTTCCATTGGAACCTCAGCAAATCGGGGAATATGGAAGCATGGCACCACATAACAAGATGGCCCAAACTGAGACTGCGGGAAAGCAGATACCAGAGTGGAAAGGGAAGTCGCCGCGGACTCACCAGGAAGTAATTTAACACAATACCGCAAAAAAACAACACACATAATGATTCTGTAAAGTAGATATGCCTTAAACCTGAAAAGCAAACCCATGTTTATGCAAAAATGAGCAAAAAAAATCCATATGAGTAGACCTTAATGTAAATATGCTGCTACCCTGGTGCCATTGTCTGTCATCACTCAAAAAAAAAAAAAAAAACGGGAACATTTTAAAAACTTGTAATGAGATTGTGGGTTGTCAGATACTATCCAAATGGAATTTCCCCTTTCCACATCCATTGTTTGACACAGCATTACTGGGAAATAAAACCACTAAAACAAATCACATTGGACATCCTTTTCCCTTCACATGCCTCTTTTCAACAGCATTAACCCAAAATCACAGGAGTGGAAGCACCGGGGGTGTCATATTGTGGCCAAGAGGACTTTAAGGTTCGAACAGCAGCGCTAACCACACGCTGTGGTAACCACATCAAATCAGCATTGGCAGACATTTCCTATCCGTCTGTCACACACACATAGTGTGTTTTTTAAAGTTTTTTTTTGTTTTTTTTGCAACATGCTAATCTGGCTGTGGTCAAAATGAGCAGGGACTAGTAACATATGAGCCCCCGGACTGCCTGAAGCTGTAAAAATAGGAAAGTTGTCTGAAAACATGCTAAAAATACATAGCGGATTAGCATGTCCTTTGGAAAAAAAGGCGTTTTAAAGACATGGATAATACCGAGGGGTTATTCATTAGTATTTGCTAACGGATCACGATAAAGTTGGAAGAGGGACCCTGATTTATCTTGAAAGAGGAGAAAAAAAAAAAAAAAAAAAGCTAGTTACCATTTTCATCTCAATAAAATTGCTCGAGGTTGAACAGGAAACTGAGGGCCTAATTTAAACATTTTTGCCCTAGTTAAATCTTTTGGGAAATGCCCTATCGTAGTCCAATAAAAAGGTTATAGCATCTTTTGGTGGAGAAACATCCAACCATTCATCCCCTGGTCAGGTTGAACAACAGGTCTCATACAGGTAGTAATACAGTAATATATCTTCTATCAAGTATTTCAATTTTTCCACCATGTAAGTCACAGGCCAATTCCTGGTTTACCCCAGATTATTAGAAACAAATCAGAAAAGAGATTTTGCAAAATGGAAAAAGCAAGAAAAAAAGACAGTGGATGCATGAAAGAAGAATGTTTGCCATTTAATGACATTTGGTCCTCTCTGTCCTTTGCATATTTCATTTCATTTTGAATCCATAGCTCTCATTTTCTAGGAATGTGCACAACCATCGCCCAGTCAAATGGAGGATCGCATTTTACTAAAACTGATGCAAGCAACTGCTTTACTGGAGTGAGGGGATTTTAAAGATGCCGGCATGATGCATAACCCCCCGTGATGCTGTCAAGGTGAGCGACTTGTAGCCCGCCTGCATTTAAGTGTTCTTGATTTTAAACTGAAATAAATTCTGTGTTCCTGGTTGATACACCTCTTCCATCCAACAAAGTTCCTTGTAAAAATGCTTAAATTCTATGTGTTTATGTTCCATAGAATGTGTCATAGATGAGCAAAAAACATTTATATCGGATTAGATTTTGCAATATTTGTAACATTTTGGGGAAACGTTTCACTTTTTACCTTCATCTACAAAGGCACTAAACATTTTCTGAAGTTCATCTCTGACTCTTTTCCACTACGAATCCTCACTGACAGCAAAAAATGGAGCTGAGCTAAAAACAGAAAAACAAACAAGAAAAAAAAATAAAAGAAAAAGACACGACTGAACCTGAGATGTGTGAAAATATACCTAAAAGAAAGATTTAAAAAAAAAAAGAGAAGAAAAAAAAGAAAGAAAGAATCAAAACCAAACAAACTTTTTCATGCATCTGTCTCTGGGGTGAAAGTTTGATGTAACCCTGTGTAATCTGTTCCAAGGGCGGGCGCAAGGTCCCTCCATGCGAGAGTTTCTAATAGCGGCGCATTAAAATAGAGCAGCTTTTCATTCGCCGTTCAAGACACGTAGGACTTCTGTGACCGTGGGGACTTCAACAAAGAGGGCTGATGCAACCGTCTATCAAGATTTTTCGAAGCCTTGGATCTCAACAGGTGACAACACGGCCTCCGCCGGTTGACGTGACGCCGCTTCCCTTTGCAGGTGATCTTGAAAAAAGGCAAAAGCGGGGCTGTTTTTGAACAGAGGAGCGCCTTTTAGCGGTTGTTGACGGCTTTTTGTTTGACCTTTTCTCGGCTCGCATAATGTATATTCAGGGTAGAAGGCAGCCGTCGTCATTTACAGTCTCTTTACAGTGTCTGGAACTAAAAGGAAAAGCTCCTTGGTAGCTATTTGCAGATGTTTAGAGTAGGTATCAACAGAGACTATTCAGAGTTTCTGCTGTGTAGATGTAAAATGCAAGCAGGGAAACATAAAAAAATATCTGTTTTCACAGATTTTCTGTGGATAGAAACTAATATTTATTGGAAAATGTATTCATTTCTTGGGCTTTTTCAGCGGACTGAACTGATTAGATGATATGATCTGATGATTCCATTAGCAGGGCACCTTTTTACGACATCGTGTGATGAGAAAAAACAAACAAAATGGAATTAGTTCAGATGAGCTGAGCCAAATCTAATCAGACTATGTTGAACTTCTTTAATTTGCGAGATCCGTGAGGCAGCATTTTAGCAAAATGAAGAACTTAAAAGGCAAAATCAGTTATATCTGAATATAACCAAAAGTACAGGTCATAGCTAGTTCAAATCACAAAAACAAAAACCTGGTACCATGACTTGTTCATGTTCATGTTAAATGGTTTGAGGAGAATCGTCTTTTCAAGAAACAACACTGTACTGCCTGCCCCCATCCAACGCGACGCCGTTTCCCATTGAAGGGGAATTGTGTTGAAGTTAAATATCGCTCTTGTGTTTAATGTTTGATTTCTGCCAATAAAGAGCTAATCGTCTTTTTATGGGAGCGTAAACACTGAGCATTTTTAGGATGCAAGCGGAGCGATAGATTGCTTTGCTACCCTCTTTAACACACTTTTTTTTTTTTAAAGTTCTATCTAATGTGCTTCTCCAGCCTTGGCGGAATGGGAAAACTGTCAACTGGCATCTGCACGCGGACAGGAATAAACACACAGCAGGATGCTCTCACACGCAGAGCAGAACACACACACACACACACACACACACACACACACACACACACACTACCAGCCA